GGTGGTGCTTATCACGCCCGAATCGGCGGATTCGTTTATAGCAGGTCCAGTGTTTGTCGAAGAAGCCGCAACAGTGGCAATCACCTTTTTGGGTCTACCCCGGCGTTTGCGAGGATTTGCGACTTGCAGGACGGTCTCCTCCTTGGCTTTCACCACCTTCTCCTCGGGGAACTTCGAATTGGTGCTCTGTCCCAGCATCTGAGTCTTCTCCATGAAGTCCTGCAACAAAGTGGACTGGTACTGGGGCAGATTCTTGTCCTTGGCCGCCTTGCGGAAGCTGCCCTCCACCGTGGTGTCCTCCGTGTCGCTCTCCACCCGCTTGATGGCCGCCTGCACGAGGCTGGGCAGCTCATTGTCGCTGGAGGAGATTCCGATGTCCAGCGGGTTGGCTTTGCTGGCCGATTGGGCCGCCTGTGAGATTGCAGTAAGCAGCAGACGCGGTGCTCTCTGCTGGTGAACCTTCAGGGGCAGATCATCCTCTGAGTCCGAGGAAAAGGCCGAGATCTGTGGCTTCTTGGACTTGGACAAAGTCTCCGATTTGCCCAGCCCACTGGTGCTGCTGGCCAGCTTCTTGCGCTTCACTTTCACCTTCTTGCTGGCCGCTCTGTTCCTGGCCTCCGAGCAGCCGGATTCGGTGTCCTGGGTGGACATTTTTCTGGGCTTTAGGGTTGGCTTCTTGGTTGCTGACGCCGCTGCTGCTGCTGCTGCTACTGCGACTCCTGTAGGTGGGCGGATGGCCGAGATTCTCATGCGCAGGCCACCGGTGTCCGAACGCTGCACGCTGAACTGGGTGGCTGACTTGGTGGACTTCGACTGGCTCGATTGATCCGTAATGGAATCGGTTTCCTGCGATTGAATCACATACTATAGAAATTGAATTTTTTAAGTGTTTGGGTCCCAGACTTGCCTCATTTTCACTGCCGGATTCTTGTGCGCGTTGCGTTTCCAGAACCTTTGCTGCTGCCGTCTCATTTTGGCCACTGCTCATATTTTGGTGTCGCTGGGGAGCTGTAATATATACATTTTTGTTAGCCAAGTGCGTTTTGGTGGCACTTTAAAGTAGGTCAAACTGCGACGAAAACGACGACGACATGCAACAAAAAAAAAAAAACAACAACAGAGCACTTACGCTTGATTGTTTTCTTGGCTAGCACCTTCACTCGCGGCTTTAATTGAGATTTGTGTTTTTAGCGCGTGGGCAATCTATTATTTCACACATTGCATATTTGCACTTTTCTTGCGAGTTTGGCCGTGGCTTGCCTGCTTCTAAAATGGCGCCGTTTTCACTTTTCCAAAAATCGCTTTGTTCGACGCCCGACGACGACGCACTGTTGCCTTCGACTGTCGCATGTGGCACGTTAGTCCGCGAATCCGATTTTTCACTTTTTTAATACGCGAACGGCGGTGGGGGCGCGCTTTAATTGTTATTGTTAATGTGGCGCAACAACAAAAAGCCAGGCAACCAAAAATGTACGAACATAAATAAAGAAAAAGACACTGCGTTTTGGTGTGGCCAGCTGTGGTGTGTACGTGATGTCTGCGCGGCAGTGTGACCGTGCGCTGCTGCGGCTTGTGGGCAACTATCGTGTGTTACCTATCGTTTGGCTGGAGGAAAAAAAGCTAAAAATAGCTAAAAATAACCATCAGGTTATGTGGCTAGTTAAAAGGTGGATAATATATTCAAAATCTCTTTGATTATTTAGGACGAAAATAACATACAATATTTAAAAGTTTTTTTTATGTATTGTCTTAAGTGATATGTCATGGTTAGTTAATATATTCCAACATAAAATTTTATATAAGCTTTTATCACACTTACTATCATTGAAACATTTTTTCAATAAATATTTTTTCACCAACACTTGACCACGAGTGCGCTGATCTTATTACTACCAAGTAGAAATAGAATCTTTTTTAAATATATAAGCAATCAAAATCAAATAATTATTAACAAAAAATGGCCAGAATTAAGTAAAGCTAGAATAAAAATAGCCAAATGCCGCGCTATAATCGGCATCACTATCCGGATTATTCCCCAATTCGCGGTGTGTACACACTGGCCGAGCAGCTCGGCAAAAAGTATTTGTTTATTTGTAAAAACTCGGAAAATGAGTGGAAAAGCGTCGAAATCGAACAGCGCCTCCAGCAGCATGCTGTACGGCTCCAGCATTTCGGCAGAGTCCATGAAGGTGATCGCGGAGAGCATCGGCGTGGGCTCCCTATCGGATGATGCCGCCAAGGAGCTGGCGGAAGATGTGTCCATCAAGCTGAAGAGGATTGTCCAGGACGCGGCCAAATTCATGCACCACGCCAAGCGGCAGAAGCTCTCTGTGCGGGACATCGACATGGCCCTGAAGGTCAGGAATGTGGAACCACAGTATGGCTTCGTCTCCAAGGACTTCATACCCTTTCGCTTTGCATCCGGCGGAGGAAGGGAGTTGCACTTCACGGAGGACAAAGAGATCGACCTTAGCGAGATCACCTCGAGCAACACGGTTAAGATACCCCTCGATCTCACCCTGCGTTCCCATTGGTTTGTGGTCGAGGGAGTCCAGCCCACTGTGCCAGAGAACCCGCCTCCACTCTCGAAGGATTCGCAGTTCCTGGACTCCGTCAATCCGGTGATTAAACTCGATCAAGGTCTAAACAAAGATGCGGCTGGCAAGCCCACAACCGGCAAGATTCACAAGCTCAAGAACGTGGAGACCATCCACGTCAAGCAACTGGCCACGCACGAGTTGTCCGTGGAGCAGCAGCTGTACTACAAGGAGATCACCGAGGCCTGCGTGGGATCAGATGAGCCGCGACGCGGTGAGGCGCTGCAGTCGCTGGGCTCCGATCCTGGCCTGCACGAGATGCTGCCCCGCATGTGCACCTTCATCGCCGAGGGCGTTAAGGTCAATGTGGTTCAGAATAATCTGGCGCTGCTCATTTACCTCATGCGCATGGTGCGTGCACTGCTGGACAATCCATCGCTGTTCCTGGAGAAATACGTAAGGCTCTTGAGTGATTGATTTGGTCTTATTACTTATCAACCTATTTATCTTCCCTTAGCTGCACGAACTGATACCCTCGGTGATGACCTGCATTGTGTCCAAGCAGCTGTGCATGCGTCCCGAACTGGACAATCACTGGGCCCTGCGAGACTTTGCCTCCCGTCTTATGGCGCAGATCTGCAAGAACTTCAACACTTTGACTAATAACCTGCAAACTCGAGTTACCCGGTAAATCCAAGCCACTCCAGTTTAATAACTCTTTAACCTATATTTGTTTAACCCTTGCAGCATCTTCAGCAAGGCACTGCAGAATGATAAGACCCACCTGTCCTCGCTGTACGGATCTATTGCAGGCCTCTCGGAGCTGGGAGGCGAGGTCATCAAAGTGTTCATCATACCCCGCCTTAAGTTCATATCGGAACGCATTGAGCCCCACCTGCTGGGCACCTCGATCAGCAACACAGACAAGACAGCCGCCGGCCACATACGCGCCATGCTCCAGAAGTGCTGTCCACCGATCCTCAAGCAAATGCGCCCTGCTCCGGACACGGCGGAGGACTACAAGAACGACTTTGGCTTCCTGGGACCGTCGCTGTGTCAGGCGGTGGTCAAAGTACGAAATGCCCCCGCCTCCAGCATTGTCACCCTTTCGTCGAACGCTATCAACACGGCACCTATAACGAGTGCTGCACAAACGGCCACCACCATTGGACGTGTGTCCATGCCCAGCACTCAGAGACAGGGGTACGAAACTGTTTTCATATTTATTTCAGATGTAATTCCTTTCCTTTAGCCATTGAAAAAGCTAGAATCTTTATACCTAAACTATTCTAATTATTTACTGACAAACTATGTAAAAATTGATAGGTTTACTTTTATTTTTTTGGAACTATGACTCAAAATTTTTTGTAAATAGAATAATTTTGGAAGTAGAATTGCCTTACAAATTGCTATTATAAGCTTTCATAGCCCATACCAACTTGATTTCCTGACTCTCCTGATTTCTAGAATCATTTCGTTATCATTTAAGAGCCATTTAGTAACCAGACAACATAAGAAAGTTGTAAAAATGTGATCCAGGACAGAATTCAGTAACTGTTTCCTAAAAAAATGTTCTCTAAATTTGCGATATCTCTAATCTCTCGAATTCTTTCTCTTGCAGAAGCCCTGGAGTGTCGGCCCTGCCTCAAATAAGGGCCATTCAGGCCAATCAGCCGCCGCAAAAGTTTGTGATAGTCACACAGAACTCGCCGCAGCCGGGCCAGGCAAAGGTGGTGCGACGGGGCAGTTCGCCGCACAGCGTGGTCCTCTCCGCGGCCTCCAATGGGGCCAATGCCTCCAACTCGAACTCAAACTCGAGCGGCAGTGGCATCGGCATTGGCATGGGCAGCGGTAGCGGCAGCGGCAGCCTTCTGTCAGCCGCACAGCGGAGCAGCGATAATGTTTGTGTTATTGCCGGTAGCGAAGCGCCAGCAGTTGATGGTATAACAGTTGAATCTTTCAGAGCACCCTAGATGCCAACTCGCTGATCATTGAGACGGAGATCGTGCGCGCACCGCCCGAGCTGGACGATCTCTCGCATCTGGAGTAGCCAGCTCTTAGCTCGTAGTCTGAATACTTATATCGTATGCAATAAAACAAAGAAAGCGGCAACCTACCCCAATAATATGTCACCACACTAAGAGAAAAGAATATAATTAAAGCTGTATTTTCATATGTTGTGTGAATGTTTTGAAGTTTTAGTAATATTGAAAGAAACAATATATTAATATCACTATAATTTTAAGTTATATGTGGGATTTTGCAAACGCTTATACTTTTATTTTAACAAATGTATTTAGACTTTGAGTTGGATTCATTTCTCAAGTCAACGATATATTTTTTTCCGTGCAAAGCCAAACTTCTCCCACCCAAAGCCAAAAAGCTTGGCCACGCAGTCAGCACGCATGTGCGGGCATGGCCCCTCAAGTGAATGGCTATTGATTTTTCCGCCGCATTCCTTGGTGAACGCACAAAGCGCTCTGCTCAACACTCCTTGTAGATACCCATCGCCAAAGGACAAAGGCACAAAGCTCGGGAGCAGTACTATCGAAATTTTTTAAGGATATTTCCTGGAATTTTCAAACCAAAAACAGTGGAAAATGCATGCAAGATTTGCGGATCCCGAGCCCGCGTCGCCGGACAGTGAGAACAGAATCGAAGCGGAGTCGCTGGAGGCCAGAATCGAGGCGTTCAAGCAGAGTCCCCAGAACATGGCAGCTCTGCGGGAAGCGCTCGACGATGTGGTGTTGCGGGCTGAGACGGAGGCCAACAGGCGGGCAGTTGAGAGCCAGAAATCGCAACAGGTTGGCTACTTTCATTTGCATTTAGTTTTCAAACTATGTGAACCAATTGCAATCTCTGTTTCAGGGCAAGGAAAAGCGACCGAGTAAGTATACGCAATGGGGTCCATATCGTTTCCTGGCTGTTTTTTTTTAAGTTGATGGCTTTTACTTGTGGCCAGTTCTCCATTCCGTCGAGACCTTTGTGCTTAAATCCTTGAATTCTTTGTCAGCGAATGTTTGATTTTTGGATAAGGGCCATTAGCTAAGCATTAGAGGTACTTATCACGAACAATGAATCCAAGTTGATGGTGGATTAAGTGTGTGGATGCAAATAAAATCGGTAAAAGTGGGGAAAAGATATGTATCACATTTTTAATCTTTCAAAATAATTTCTTTACTCAAGTAAGAAAAGATAGTGTAAATAATAATTAATAATATATTGAGCACCCATATAAGTGAGTATGTTTTTTTTTAAAGACTTTCTAATAGATATGGTATAATTTGGTAAAGGGTTTTAAGTTGATGGTTGTATTAAACTTGGCGATCACACTTTTAAATGGCATATTAAATCTAAATAAATGTCTTCGGGAAATATTGGTAAATTCATTAAAAATACATTTTCTATTGTATCCACACACAAAAACCCAATTCGCTTAGCGATATTTACCAAGAGTTCCTGCCAAGTGTTGGTTTTTATAAATCGACTATTATACGATTTGAGGTCTGGTTGTTGTTGCTAACAATGGCGGAAATAAAATGCACCGACTGACCAATGACAGGGAGACCTTTATAGTTCCTCCAAAAAGTGACAATTAAATCAAAGGAAATTGTATGGATCCGTGATAATTATAAGCGCACTCGCACGCCATTACTTCACCCATTATATCAGATATGCCAGCTCGATTGCATGCTCATATTTTGTTGCACTTAACTTTGAATTTTGCCTCTCACTGATCTTTGTTTTTCGTATTTTTTCGTACTTGCCGCGCTTCGCATGCACTAATCTCTCAGGTTTCGCCATACCAGATTTTAAGAACGGCAAGGTGGTGAACCGAGCCCGAGGATTCGTGGTGCGGATCTTCGATGCCATATGCAATTGTGCCAACAACAATGCCGCCGCAGCCACGACGCGCTTCAAGTTGAGGAGCAACAGTGGAGGCGGAGGAGGTGGCGGTGGAGGTGGAGCCGGTGGAGGTGCCAGTGGAAATGGCAAGCGCCAGCAGTCCCAGGATGAGCCGGAAACCCTGGTCCTGACCAAGAAGAAGCCAGCCAGCGAGGGCAAAAAAAAGAAAGGCGTCAGCATGGCCGATGATGTTCAAGCCGGCGTTCGACTGATGGACTAAACAAGCAATTCCGTACAATGGTTGCTCCTGCAATGGCAAAACATAATCAAAACTATTACCAGTCCCTCCCTGAAAACAGTCCTTACATCAGCAATCATTTCCCTATCATCCTAGCATTTTCTTTGCTCAAAACGTCTAAAGCACAAATCGAAATTCCAATTCCAAGTCTTCCCCTGAAGACCAAAAAATTATCGTATAAGATAAAAAGTAGACAAGGGATTAAATTCGAAACCGCTTTATAAACATAACATTTTTTTTAATAAACAAATTTTCTTTGGTTACAATTTTATAAAAAAAAAATAATTTAAGGTTGAAATCGAATACTTAACATTTAATCCTTTGTCTGCAAAAAGAACTTTGTCATCCCTATTAAATTTATAAACGTTTGGCGGAGTCTTCAAAACTTAAAGGTTTTTTAAAAAGGTTTTTAGACTGAAAACTTTATTTTGTTATTTGAAGTTCAAAGGTCAAACTTTAAAGTTATATCAGATTTTGATTTTATAATATTTTTTTTCAGAAAGTTTTTAGATCAAAAAAATTTTCTAATTCAAAGCAAATTTGGTTAAAACCTATTGTTGTAAAAAAATATTTTAAACTTATATTTTTCAAGATTCTTGCTCCGCCAAACGAAAACTAGGCTGCTAGTAAAGCTTTAGCTCTATACAATATGATTTTACAAACCTAAATGTGATCCCAGATGGAAATGTAAACCAAGAAAACTCGAAGCGCAAAAAACTTTTAGGTTAGTTAGGGAAGGAGGATGAAAGAAATATCTTATAGTCTATATATATGAACACCCTCATACTTTCAAGCAACTTTCGAGGCTATCCCACGCACAATCAACGGCATTACACAATCCCAATCCCAAAGGGGAATTAATGCCTAAGCTTAACAACAGGGCTGTCAATCTCCACCTAATTATAACTGTACGATTTATCAAATTATATATACCTATATGTGGGTACAACTAGGAGTGTACCACCAACCTATTTAGATGTGTGTGTAGTAGTTACAGAATATTTCGAAAACCAGCTAACAAACGGTTCAATATACAAGCATCAATGTGTACTGATTTTATATACAACAATGTACTAACTACTATATAGATGTGGACACTATTGGACTCTTAGTTATATACCATACACAAAAACACTTTCTAAACGCCGCACAGGTTTCCTCCAACATCCAACATCAATGCCATTAAACCACACACCACACACGCTCTAATCGGATATATTTTTGTGAGGCCCTTTTTGAGAGATCTATTAAGACACTATTCTATACCGAATCCGAAATTTAGAAAATCGAATACGATAAAATAACTAAAGAGAGAACTTTGTACACACATTTGCAAGGCAACCAATTTGTATAAGATTTTGCATTTATTTTATAACCTCCAAAAATGCAATTATCTCCCTAAGTTCAAATATGTTGCTAAGCCAATTGAGTATTTATAAATTACGAAATGTATAAGTGTGCATAATGCGAATATAAAACTGTTATATTTAGTTAACAATATCAGCAATAAAGTGTAACAATGTTTAAAATCAAAAATTGGGTATTTTAAATTATGGGTGAGCTAGGTTTAAGATCTTAAAAACTTCAATTTATAAGGAAATAATATTTTTCAAAAATGTATAAAAATTGGTCCGAAATGCCTAAAATAATGTAATGTTCTTAAGATAACTTTATTTTTGTTTGAGATTAATGGACGTCTTTCTTAATTTAGTAGTATTTTAAGTACAACTATTTGTTTTTCCAATCAACAGATTTTTATATTTTTAATATTTAAAAAATGGAAATTCAAGCTAATACTACATTCGTGTTTACGGACACTTTCTGAAATTTTTCCTAAGGCCACATGAACTTTCCTTCGCCATTATCGGCCAGGCATTTGGCTGTTTGGAAGACCCTTTCGCATGATTCCTTGAATCCTTTGTCTGCAATATATTAAACTATAGTAAATAATATTTCGGATAATTAAAACTTACGCGTATCCCTGCAAGCTTCAACGGATCGTCTGGAAACCTCCATCATCTCCGTGGGAACCAAATGGGGAAGCTGAGCCAGAGCCTTTGCGGCATTAAATTCTCCTTTTTTATTAACCGTCCCCGCCATCAGGGACACACATTTTGTATAGCACTGAAAGAAGAAAGAATTTAAATTGGCAACAGAAAGGATGGGGTAAAAATATGAGATTCCTACCATCAAATCCTGCGATGGCTGCATATTAAAGTCGCCCACGCGAAGTCGGTTAAGATCTTCCATATCCAGTTTAAATTTGGGTGCACAGCCATTACGGATCATGTCCAGCGAGGACAAGAACTGGTCCATTGTCATGGCCCTTCCAGGATCGGGCAGCAGCACTAGAATAATCTGCAGGACGATGGCCAAAACGGCGGATGAACACAGTTTCCAATGCTTCATGGTGGCGGGAACTAAATACGTCGACTAGCTGACGAGTGGGGCATCTTTATAGGCTGCCTCAGGGGGCTGCACCAATAACAATTAAATCTGGTAGGTCAGTAATTAAACAACGCACCAGCACGCCATTTTCACCTATTTTTAAAAAAATCTCTATAGCACATTTGACAGCTCGATTGCATGTATACTAAAATAATATCTAACTGCAGGTTTTATCTGACTATTTATAGTAGTTTCAAAGTAAATATACATTTTTTAAAACCCAAAAAACTTTTATTCAGCAACCAAAGCTCTACCAGAAACAAAAAATATAGAATTTGAATCAGCAGAGTATTTTACTAAACAGATCGTTCTTTTGAGAGAATTTAGAAATTCCAGTTTGATAAAATAACAAAATACAACCATTTGATAATAACATAATAACACATAATTCGCGAATTTATAGTGATTTTAATTAAACGGTTACCAGTAACATTTTTGATAAGGGTTAGTTGCTTTCATGATTAATGTATTTTCGGCCACAATTATTTATTTATCAACATTTTCCTTATCACGACACAATTCGTATTGTTATATTTTGTTAAACAAAGCAACATAAATATTATATGGTGAGTACAACATGTTTAAAATGGTTTAAATGGTTGGTAGTATTTGTTTTCATATTTTATTTACTTAGTGAACGCGAAATGGCTGTCATTATTCATTAGACATCATTCTTTCATAAGTATATGTGTCTATATTTTTAAACTTTAAATATTCAGTATATTTGCAGAAAGTTTCAATATAACATTAAACAACTTTTTGTAATTCCGGTTTTCATATGCGATTGATTTACTATTGTTTTGATGTGCAATCGTCAAAAGGCAATTAAATAGAGAATATAAGCTATGTACTTATAAAATCTTCCTTAGTATTTCGGAGATGTTACTTCTATGGAATCGGAATCAAAACCCACCGAACCGGATCATTAGCAATGCGCATCACGTTTTCCATTGAGAATCCGACTGGATGATGATCATTATTGGCCAGTATTCATTTCGCCCCTGGAAACATGTTGCCAAACCAACTAGTCAGCTATGTACAATGAGATAGTACACGAAATTGGGTCTAAGTCGAAGCTCATAAGCATTAAAGGGGACCGGCATTTAAGTGCCTCGCTTTACACCCTAGAGATAAGACGAAAGTATTTACTTGGCTACTTATAATATTGACTATATAAGTGGCGCTTCCCTTTCCCAAAAAGCGTTTTTGTCTGAAAACTGAGCTTAGGCGAATGCGACTTGCCTGAACGCCGCTTTATTAGCCAGGAAAACCCGAGAAGTGTCAACGCATCGTACACGATCAAAAGCATTATTCAAGTACATCATTCAAATCGTAAGTTGAGCCGATCTGAGCTCGGTTTCGGTTTCCATATCGGCACACTAGCTCGTTTTGGAGAATTGCACACAGGGCAGAACTGATTCAGCTGGCAACGGAAGCGGCACGCGATTAAATCCCAGTGCATTTACGAAAACAACTCAAAATGAAGGCCTTTTTTTGGGCTTTTACGGTTTTATTAAGCCTTGGCTCGCAGCAGATATTCGGCAAAACATTAAGCAGCGACTATGTTGGTGAGTTTAAACCATAAAAAAACAAAAATTACAACTCAGTGAGTCGATATAAGCATGGAATAGTTACATTTTGGATACAAAATAAATTACAAATAATTTATTTTCATTTATATTTATTGTCAATCTATGATCTGGAAAGCTATTACAAAGTTATACGATTAAGGATTTATCGTTCAAAAAATAAATTACAAATAATTTATTTTCATTTATATTTTATTAAAGATTGTTAGTTTATGATCTGGAAAGACATTACAAAGTTATTCTTGTTTAATGGACTCTGTATTTTTAAATATTTTTTCTAAGAAACTCTCTAAATTAAATTAAATATATAAACCATTTTAGATCTCCTCGACTTCAGCGACAATGCTGAGTTTCAATGGGGCGAATCCGAGAACCAGATATATAGCCACGAAAATCGGACTGGCGAGAACCAAGTCGTCAATTTTCTGTCACGACATCGCCTCAGTAAGCGGCAAGCTCCCACTTCGCAGTTGCTGGTGAGTCAATCTCTACTGATTACAAGGTCATATAATTGGCAAATTTAATTTAATTAATCGCAGGAGAACAAGGACTATGGACCTTGTAGCACTCCTTTGGGTGAATCCGGTCGTTGTCGCCACATCATCTACTGCCGCATGCCGGAGCTTAAAAACGATGTCTGGCGCCTGGTATCCCAACTTTGTATCATTGAGAAGAGGTATGTATGTTGTTCCATAAAAAGAATTCAAAAGCAAGTGATAAGATCCAGTGCTCAATCCACAACACATAGTTTCTTAGTTATTTTTTTTAACTGAAAATAATTTTATAAAAATAATTTAAAAGAGATTACAAATTAATACGCTTTTTCTTTTCAAGGATTTTATATTTTTTTATTAATCCGTTTAACAAATATAGTACATTTGTATTGTTACAGTTGATACATTCTGTTTGGAACTGTTTAATAATTTATGATAGTGTGTTTATTGTCCAAATCTTAGTTGAACAAAGATAAAACTATTAAAGCTTGTTTTTAAAATTATAAATAGATTTTTTAACAATGTTATTGAAAAATATACTCAAAAAAATATAATAAATTTAGAGTTGAGAAATGCTTTACATTTTTCGTTTGACATAAATTGTTTAAGACTTTTAAATTTTGTCTTCGTAACTGGCAAATCAAGTTTTTAAATTATATTTTAAAGAGTTTGCAAACAGTGTTAATTGTTATTTATATATTTTTTAAGACTTTTCAAATTTGTGTAACATAATTGCGATAACTATCTTTTACTTCCCGCAGCTCCATAGGCATTTGCTGCACTGACCAGTCGACCAGCAACCGCTTTAGTCCGCAGATCGTGACCAGTCCGGACAAGGATGAGCCGCGGATCGTCAATAAGCCGGAGCAGCGTGGCTGTGGGATTACGACCAGGCAGTTCCCGCGCCTCACCGGAGGACGACCAGCCGAGCCGGACGAGTGGCCCTGGATGGCGGCCCTGCTCCAGGAGGGACTGCCCTTCGTGTGGTGCGGCGGTGTACTGATCACCGATCGCCACGTCCTTACGGCCGCCCACTGCCTCCACAAGAAGGACAAGCAGGACATCTTTGTCCGTCTGGGCGAGTACAACACTCACATGCTGAACGAGACGAGGGCCCGGGACTTCCGCATTGCCAACATGGTGCTTCACATCGATTACAATCCGCAGAACTACGACAATGACATCGCCATCGTCAGAATTGACAGGGCCACGCTGTTCAACACGTATATCTGGCCGGTTTGTATGCCGCCCGTGAACGAGGATTGGTCGGATAGGAATGCCATTGTCACGGGTTGGGGCACCCAGAAGTTTGGCGGTCCTCATTCCAACATCCTTATGGAGGTGGGTAATATCTACATTTTTGATCTTCATTTTATATACAGCGTTTATTGTTATTTCGTAAATATTAGGTTATTTCTAGTTTCTGAACGTTAATTTAAATTCAACATTTTTATTTGGGGCGAGTATTGAAGCTAAAAGGCTCTGAACAAAATGTTGACACAAAACATTTTAATTTGGAAAAGTTTTAAAAGAGCTTTCGTTAGCTGGAATACTGACCCTTAATTGGTAATATAAGATTTTAATATTTTCAATAGGCAGAGAAAATAAATTACTTGTACGATGAAGGCTTGACCTTTATAAATGAAAATTTGTTAAAACTAGGAACAGCAAATAATAGTTTATTTTAACGACTTCAGGTGAACTTGCCGGTGTGGAAGCAGTCTGACTGCCGCGCCTCGTTTGTGCAGCATGTTCCGGACTCGGCGATGTGCGCGGGATTCCCGGACGGAGGACAGGACTCGTGTCAGGGCGATAGCGGAGGTCCACTGCTGGTGCAGCTGCCCAACCAGCGATGGGTCACCATCGGCATCGTTTCTTGGGGCGTTGGCTGCGGAGAGCGTGGTCGTCCGGGTATTTACACACGTGTGGACCGCTACCTGGACTGGATACTGGCCAATGCTGATGTCTAAATACATAGAAAGCGCTGCCTGCAGTTCGTCAGTACATTCAATTTACTCGGCATTAGCTTTAACAAATGCTATGGTCTAAATACACTAATTAACCTGATAACGTTCGATATCAATAAAATCTATGAACACCCGGAAAAAACCCCCTTGCTAAAGCTACGATTAAGGCCACGCCGTCGACTTGGCGGCCGCCGCACTGGACATCTTTTGCAGCGGCTCCTGCTCCACCACATTGTCGGTCGACGTTTCGGTGGCATCGCCAAAGGCTATCTTGTAGACATCCTCGTAGTTGGCTGCAAAGTGAACCTCCAGGCCCTCAGTAATGTACGTGGGCAACTCTTCAAAGTCCTTTTTGTTATCCACCGGCAGAATCAGACAATTGACGCCACTACGACGAGCCTATAGTAGGGAAATTTATTGTTAAATCAAATATTTCTTATGTTTTGTATTAATATACTTACTGCTATGGTCTTCTCCTTGATGCCACCAACTGTCAGCACCTTTCCTTTCAGGGACACTTCACCCGTCATGGCCACATCCTGACGCACCTGCTTGCCAGTGGCCAAAGAAATCAAGGCGGTGATGATGGTGACTCCAGCGCTGGGACCATCTTTTGGTGTGGCTCCTTCAGGAACGTGGAGGTGAATGTGTCTGTAAATAAAAAATAGAAAATAATATAAAATATAGATTATACTTCAAAATAATAAACGGAAATAAATGAACTATGTAAGTAAAGTATGGCTTGAACTAAAAAAGAAATTGATTTAAACTTAGCTTCACACATGAAACTGGAATCATCCTTATTTGGAATATAAAAATTATAGTAACCTAGTTTAACTAAACTAATGTTAAGCCTGAAACTTACTCTTGCTCCAAAAACAAGTTTTTGGGTTCAAGTGTGTGCAAAAAGTTGCGCGCGACGGTCAAGGCTATTTGGGCCGACTCCTTCATGACATCACCCAGATTGCCGGTGATGTGGAGGGTTCCACTGGCCGCAGTCTTGTCCGCCTTCTCGCCGTGACGTATGTGCCGCCTGGAGGTCTCAATGTACAAAGATGAGCCGCCCATGGCCGTCCAGGCTAGCCCCATGACCACGCCCACTGGTGTGGTGGCGTACATGCGATCCGAGCTGAAGATCTGCTTGCCCAGGAATGTGGTCAGGTTATCGGCATTCACCGGGAAGTGTTCGCCCTCCTTTTTCACCAGACGGAAGGCCACCTTTCGAATGACCTTCTCGATATGCTTCTGCAGGTTTCGCACACCGGATTCCCGGCAATAGCTTCGGATCAGCATGTTCAAGGCATCCTCGGTTATGTTGATCTGCTTGTCCGTTAGTCCGCAATCCTTCATGGCCTGCGGCATGAGGTATTGGCGAGCAATGGCGATCTTTTCCTCTGCCACATAGCCAGACATCTCGATTAGCTCCATGCGATCCCTCAACGGCTCGGGGATGGTGTCAATCACATTGGCTGTGCAAATGAAGAGCACTCGCGAGAGATCCACCGGCACGTCCAGATAGTGATCCAGGAAGTTGGCATTCTGCTCAGGATCGAGCAGCTCTAGCAAGGCCGAGCTTGGATCTCCCTGGTAGCCTCTGAAAAAGAAAAGAATTTAATTTTATATCGTAATAATTTAATATTTAGCCTTCCACTTACTTGCCAATCTTGTCCACCTCATCGATGAGCACCAGTGGATTCTCAATCTTCGTCTTCTTGAGACACTGAATCAGCTTGCCCGGCATGGCACCCACATAGGTGCGACGATGTCCCTTGATCTCGGCCACGTCCGTCATTCCGCCCACGCTGAAGCGGAAGTACTCGCGGTTCAAGGCGCGCGCAATAGACTTGGCTATGCTGGTCTTGCCCACACCAGGTGGTCCATGGAAGCACAAGATCTTGCCCTGCGTGCTGCCCTTCAAGGAACTGACGGCGATGAATTCCAAAATACGCTTCTTGATATCTTCCATGCCATAATGATCGTTGTTCAGTATTTCGGTGGCCTTGTCCAGGCAAAGGTTTTCGGTGCTAATAACGCCCCACGGAAGGGATGTTAGCCAGTCGAGGTAGTTGCGGGTTACACTGGAATCGACGTATATATTAGTTATATGAACTATATGTGATATAGCAAGCCTTACTTAAACTCTGAGCTGTGGCTTTCCAGGAAGTTCAGTTTGGTCAGCTCTTCGTCAATAACAGTCATTATACTTTCGGGTACGATTTTATCCTTCAGTTTTTCGCGGTACTTTTCGCCTATGGCATCCTTGTCGTCTTTTTCGATGCCCAGCTCTTTTTTAATAACCTTCAGCTGCTCCTGCAGTATATACTTGCGGTGTTGCTGCTTGACTTTTTCCTCTACTTCGCGTCCAATTTTTTGTTGCAATCTCGAGAGCTCCAGTTCCTTTTTGAGCAGTGTCAAAGCCAGCTGCAGTCGTTCTGGGATCTAAAATATATATAAACCTATTGAGAATATATTTTAATTTTAATGTAACCAATATTACATCCATTTCCTCCAGGATCTTCTGAAGTTCAGCTGGTTCTCCAGCGGAAAGTGAAGCACCCAAGTCACACAGATAAATGGGATTGTCCACAATTCGTTGGTTTTGATGCAGCATCTGCTGCAGACTCTCTCTAGAAGATAATATAAAAGTTAGATAAGCAAGAAATAAACCTCAAAATAATTGGCATACCTGTACAAGGGATTCATTGTGATGATATCCCGAAGAGTCTTGATTATCTCCTGAGTCAAAGCCTTGACCTCCTCGGTTTGCTTGTACGACGGCTCCTTGACATTCTCCACTTCCACAATAAGCACAGGTGGTGGTGGTGCGCTGGCCGTTGCTTCTCCTTCGGCTCCCGCCTCATTGGTAGCAGTACCTTCCACAGGTTTTCCTTCCTTGGGAGGCTTGGGCGAACCCACTGACTCAACTTTGCCTGCTTTCAGTGGCTGTTCCAGTGTCTGGCTCTGCACCATTTCCTCGGCGGCAGCCGACTCGCGTATTTTGCTAGCCCGACTCCTTGGAACCCGGCCACGTGGCTTACGGGCTGTCTCGGATCTGGATTTCGTGGACGCCGCCTCCGCTTGATCAGTCGTTTGATCTTCAGCTGGGATTTGTAATTTGATATTAAATAGTGGATAATGCAAAGTGGTCATTTTCGCTAAGGGCAGAAACATATGTCACAAGATCAGGGCGCTTAGTGCATGTCTGTTCAATAAGCTCACCTTGCTTTGGTCGTGGCACATCTTCGACCACCTGACCAGTGATCCGAATGCGCCGATGGGCCACCACAACCATGCGCAGCTTGTCGCCCAGATCCTGCAGTTCTTGGATCTGAGCAAAAGTGCCCAGACTGTAGACATCATTCAAATTTTGGACGAGCTCCTCCTCGCCATCGGATTTCTTTAGGAACACGCCCACATATGGTTGATTTAGCTTGACTTTGCGACGCAGCAGGTCCATGATGATGGGATTGGAGACCTGGGGTATAGTTTACGTATATTAATACAAGTTTTTTTTTTTAAATATAATTTATAAAGTTGTCTATCAGTAAGATATAATGCTATAAATGTAGTGCCTAGCATAAAACCTATAAGGTAACAAAACTTGTCATGCTAGGATATAATTAAGCAAATAAATAAGTAAATCAAATAAATAGCAACTGAAAAAACACAACAAATTGGTCAAAACTATCTTAAAAATCAAGAAAACATTTATTATTTGCAATATTTTTTCCTAGGAAGCTATAAGACATTCAAAGTTCTGGAACATCTACAAACGGATATATACCAAATTGGCTTGGTTTCTAGGAACTAGTCAGCTTATTGTATAGGCTTTAAGTAAGCCTATATGAAATCATATATCTTCAATCTACATTGACGGAATTGGAAACTTGAACCCCTTGGATAGATTGCTAGCCATAACAAATCCTCCCCAGCTACGTGATAACATTACCTCCACGATCTTCATGAAGCGCGGAAAAAGGGGATTCTTGCGCATGGCCAGCAGTGGGACATGTGGCCAGACATCCGGCACGGCCACCGTGGCCGGCAGCTGCGGATCCCGATCGGACATCAGTACGGGATTTTGGTTTTCCATCATATCCTCGTCGGAGTCGTCGCGGTTGCGACTGTAAAAGCGCTGCACCAGCAAGTTGGCTCCATGGAAGCGCTGAAGGCGCGTCGTCTGATCCCGGCTAAATTGCATCAGCGAACTCTGGACGGGACGGTTCCGGGTCCACATCGACTTCGAGGCGATGCCCCGCAGCACGGGACGCACTCGGATGGCGCGGGCTAGCATCTCGATGGCAATTCCCACTCGCAATTTACTTAGAAATATCTAGAAAAGGTATAAAAACAATTTGCACTCGAATTGTGTGTGAAGTGATTATGTGACGGCTGTTGAAATGACAGCGACTGGCAGTGTTGCAAAACGATTGCGGCTGTCTTGCACAGTGGAACCAGAATCAGTGGGAAATAAGAAGTTAAGAAATAAAGTCTCTTGCCTTTTCTGCACAATTTATGAAATTTCTATTTAATGAAATTGAGAAAGTGAATAAGATTTGAGTTGCAGGAGAATTTTGCTACAAATTAAGGTTATTGGAATCAAGAAAATCCGAAAATACAAAAAAAAACAAATATGTCAGTTCCAATTGGTAATCTGTTCATTAAAGAAACCATTTTAAACTTTCAGTATTATATATATCGCTGGTAATTCTTACTACATACATAAACTTAATTAGCATTTTGCATAAAATGTCTTATTAAGAGAAATTTACGGTAAAGTTAAATTTTGTTCATGCCCTTAATAAATTGGTATTGGAGTTATTTCGATTTGTTTGTGGGTTTTATTAGTTTTTTGGATCGACTGGCCATCAGCTTTTTCGTTTGGCTCAGTGGGCACATTTTGTTAATTCAAAAACACTTTTGAAAACACCTACATATGTATTTATTTTTTTCTTTAAATCTCGCTTATTAACTGTAGTCTAGGCATTTTTAGAAATGTTGAACTGACAGTACCCACTGTAAAGTCAGTGTTGATAACCGACGATAAAGAAACGGAGGACAGGAAGACGGCAGCAAAAATATATCAGAAAATTGTATTTAAACGCATTTAACCATGGTATCCCGATTCGACCAACAGAAGACGAAGCACCAGCTCTTCCACGTGTCCCTCAGCCTGGCCACGATCCTGATCTGCATGACGTACATGCAGTATCGCCGGAACTGGGCGCATCTCGGCAGCTTCTGGGACTCGCTGGTGGTGCCAATTGTATTTCTGGGGGAGCTGCTGAAAGTTGTGCTGGCCCGGTTTTACGGACGGGTGGAGGATGGCGTCCTGACCGTCAAACAGCGTCAGAAAAAGGCCGCCTACTTTACGCCGCGGGAGCTCCTCGGAGGATTCACGCTGCAGTTCCTGTGCACACTGCTTTACGCCTTCATATGCATCATTCTGGGAGCCCCTGTGCTGGGCAACTACGAGCAGACTTTCGTCCTGGCCCTGCTGATGACCCTGCTGACGGTGTCGCCCACCGTCTTCCTACTCGGAGGCGGCGGTGCCCTCCAGGTGTGCTTCTGCGAGAAACCGGACTTTGTGACCAAGTGCGAGGACACGGCACTGAATCTGTTCAAGTACAATGCGCTGGGCGGGATTCTGGGCGCCTGGGCTGGCAGCGTGGTGGCTCCGCTGGACTGGGGACGCGACTGGCAGGCCTATCCCATTCCGAATGTGATTGGAGCCCTTTTGGGCAGCGCTCTCGGGAACATATACGCCTGTACGCATGTCCTCTATGCCACGGCCCGTGTTTACATGACCAAGAAACGCACTTAAAGCCTCACTAATAAATGCTATTAATCCTGCCACCAAGATTATTACCTTGCGCTGCCACTGAATTCCACACACAAACACCCACTACTCATCCACTAAGAACCACGTCATCATCTCGTCTAGTCAGCAGCTTAGGAACTACCAAAAAGCAATTACCACTTTAATGTTACATGTTTAAGCATTTTACTAGAGTGTAATATTAATGAATTCTTTTTTAAATCAATTAATAAACTAACAAATTATGAAGTAATGAAACAAGCGCTAAAGACATTTGGAAAAGCCTATGAATCCTTGTCCACTAACATGCTAGAAATATCGGATAAAGCCTAGACTGAGGATGGGGTAAATATACATATAAATATACATTATATGAAACGTTTAAAACACACATAAATGTATATTCTTTTATATAGTTGTTTTTATGTTTAAACCTCTTTCATATCTCAGTTTTATCGTTTCATCAAATTGATTTCTCTATTGCATAGAACATACGTATAAGTATCTAACTGGTTGGTTTATTTTGGAACTCCCAATCCAATAAAAATGTTTGAAAACACAACACATAATTTAAGCATCTCATAACCGATTCATATCATTTTAAGTTTTAGTCACTTCATATTTTTGATTTCTCTGTAATGAAAAGCATTTGTACCCCATGATATCCTAAGATAATGACAATATATGTTACTTATACATTGGTTAATTTTGGAATTCCCAATCTAATCCAAATATTTAAAAACACAAGACATGATTTCAGCATCTCATAACCGATTCACAGATAACATATAATGATTTACAGACACGAGTTGACGACAATATTTAGGCCTTAACCGCCATCACAAAACTCTCGTCCTCCAGAAGGCACCGTTGGCCCACATAGTTTTCATTGGGTTCCCAGTAATCCTCTTCATCCGCCTCGGCCAGGGGCTGACAGGCTTCCTCATTGTTAACCGCTCCCTCGGGAAGTGGTAATTCCCGTCGATTGTCCAGCGAGTCGTCAGCAGAAGGTCTTCTCCGGAGAAACGCCCCCATTGGCGCAGCCGGGCAGTGACCCGTCTCGAAGAGTTTGTGAAGCTTGATGAAATGCTGGCCACTGGCCAGGCGCTGACCCTCCTCCCTGGACACCAGGGCACTCCAGCTTATGGCCAAAGTGGCATGAGGCACATAACCAGCGATGCTTGCGTTGAACTCCTCCGTTGAGATGTTGGTATTGAAGTACACCGTCTCCTCGTTGGTAAGAAAACTGTGCGGCTCCTGAATGGCGGGCATAAGCTGCTCCACCTGCTGGGCATGCTGGGCAGGCAGGATCTTCAAGTGGGAAAGTCGAGATTGCAATAGGCTTTTGATCGATGGAATGTCTTTGAATTCTTCTTTGTTGTCCCTCTCCCGCAGGCGACACTGGAAATTGCAGCATATGGAAGACTTGAGGCACTGCGCTCCCGCCTGTCCTGGGCTGACTCCCATACTGTTCATGACTGCAAAGATAATATAGTTAGATTTTATAAAAAGTATAATTACATTAATTCCTTAATGGAGTTTAAGGGCAATTTGTGAGTATTTGGAAACACTGTGAGACCAGAGACTAAAGTCATCACCCAACTTACTGTATAGCTTATCCGGATTCAAATCGAATTCCTTAGAGTACAAGGAAATCGAGTTGATGTACACCTCCGTTCCGTCCATGGCATGCTGGTTCCTGACGTTCACATCCAAGCCCAGTTCGTTGGTCACCGCATTGCTAACCACACACGTGGAGTCGGCCTGCAGGCAGCTCTCCACCTGCAGCTGCCAAATATGCCGAACCAGGCGATACTTTACGCTGGAGTTTGCTCCCCCCGGCAAGGAGTAATAGAAGAGAAGGCGAAGGGTAAATGGTCCAGCCTGATGTGGAGCCTGCAGCCACATGGAGATGGTGTGAACCTGCTGGGCATCCAAGGCAGCCTGTCCAGGGCGTTGCAGCAGTCGAAAAACACGTTGTCCACGGATTTCCTTGTCCTTGACGAGCTTGTCATTGGATAGATTGCGAAGGGCTGCAAATATAGTGTAACAATTATTAACAATATGAATATATTTGACTTGTTATTCACTTACAACTCATCATAGCCAGTGGCATTTGGCTGTGCTGATCCAAGAGGGATATACAGCGCGGGTTATCGCATCCCAGGTAGATCTCCTCAATCGGAGCAATGCCCAGATTCCGAAGGGTCACAGAAACAGGTATAATTTCACCAGCCAAAAGTCTACTGGGAACAGGACTAAAGCTTACATTCATGGCGGGCAGTTGGGGAATCAATTTGATGGTCAATCTGTTGTCCAAAACAGTCTGCGATGATTGCTTGGCATTGTTAGGTCTGATCTTTTGTGTCTCGAACTGCAGGGTTCCCAGGAGACTGGCCACAGGATCCGCACTCGCTGCCACTCTACAAATCACTCCCAGGACATTCAGGCGTCCGGTCAACTTGGGTGTCAGCTTAAAGTGCAACGTTTGCTCAGCCTGTTCGGCCAGCTCAATGGCAGCCACGCAGCTGGTTTTAATCGCTGCACCCACAGCTATTTTGCTGGCACTATCCGCCGATTCCTCATACACGCAAGCATTGGACAGAACCTCCTCGTTGTCCAGAGTCAGTTTCCATAGCAGATCAATCTCGGAGAGGGCTATGCCACAGCGAACGCTATTGGAAAGGGTCACAGCCAGCTCGATGGGTTCGCCCTGCACAGCAACTGGAGTTTCCAGCGCAGGCTGCTGCTTCGTAAACAAATATCTCGATGGTTTAAACACAAATGGCTTATTATTGGCAGCCGTGATAACGAGCATCTCTTCAATCTTATTCCAAACGGACTCATCGGCCGTCAGATTGGAGTTGATGTCTATGTTGGTGGCCGGCACTTGGGGAGCCACAGCCGATGGTGATTGCACAAGAGTAAGAACACGAACGGAAGATTGCACTACTTGGGGTAAGGCATGCGGTAGAAGTCCCAATTCAGGACTGCGCTTCAGGAGTTCCTGAAATAAACGAGTTAAATATATAAGTAAAATTCATTATATAGACAAAAACTTTCAACAGAAGAGTTTAACTAGCTACTTTCAGGTTTTTTTATAATATTTTCTAACAAAATTTAAAAAAAAAATGAGCAAAGAAAGAGATGAATCGATAAATTAATTTTTTATAACTAAAAAATGAAGTTTTTTCAATAATAAAAATATTTTTATTTAATAAAATCGTATTTAATATGTGTTCTATAGATTATATACTGATAAGTTGTAGTCATTTTGGAGAGCAACATTCCTGAAAATAGCCTACTTTTTATAACCCCATAAAGTTCAACTTACATTCTGCGTCTGAATATACTCCTTGAGGAAACTGGTCTGCTGTTGCGCACTTTGAAGGCTGCCGGGCCTCAGCAAATGGGCAAACGAGCGACTGGCCTCCTCCAGTTGCTTCAGCATATAGGCCTGCTTGGCCACCGTATACTGAATGTGATCCTCAGCCAAGCTCCACTCGCGCCTTTGGAAGACCTGGTAGGCCTGGCGATAGCAACGATACGCATGCTTCCTTTGGCCGGCGCGGGAGTAACGATTCCCGGCCAGCACAATGTGAAAGGCATACTTCCGGTGCATGGGCGGTTGGGTCACCAGGAAACAGTAGGCTGCCTGCTCCAGCAACAGAGCTGATCGGAGATCTGATTCCTCGTTGGTCATGCGTATCAGTTGCTTTGCCACGTCGCTATAAAGTCGTGCTGTTTTCAAGCATTCCATGCTCAGCAGCGTGGCCCTGGTGGCAAATTGCTGTAGTCTGCAATAACAAGTAATATAAGAAACTGCAGGGAAAATTCAAGAAATCCTATAAACAACTTACTTGCACACGGTGAGATAACAAACAATGGCATCCTCCATATAGTCATAGGTCTTCCGGTGGGCAGTTCCCAGCATAAAGGCGGATAGGGCGGCCATTTCCAAGGCACCCGCATAGTATTGCCACGCCGAGTCCGCATTGAAGTCTCGTTTGGCCTGATGATAGGCTTGAAAAGCCAAATTATAGTGACCGAACATAAAGTAGAGATCGCCCAACTTGCGGGTTTGCAGCTCAGCAGATTCATTGGTGTAGCTAAACAAAAAGAAAAAAGAATAATAATTAATACTTGACAAGAAAAGAAGCAAATTTCGACAATATAAAATCAGCTAATATAACAATAAAAGATTTCTTTAAAACTACTAAATTTAAAAACAATGAACTTTCTATGGCAGTTATATAATAGCGTTGTCCGATCTTTTTAAATTTAAAACCGCTTCATAAGAAAATAGAATCTTGTCTCTAGATCGATGTTAATCAAAACTTTATATACTTTCTAGTATAAACTATCTAGTGCGCCCTCTGAAAGGATATTAAAACGTACAATTTTGAATAACAATTGAGACATCTTACATGACTGCATTTTGATTGTTGGCTCCTGCGCCTGGTTTGCTGGTGACGAACCACCGTTTGGTGGCGCTCAGGAGGGACTTGCTGACGCCCTTCTTGTTGGTCACTCCCTCGGCGAGAATGGCCACCAGATGCTCAATGTAGGGTATCAAGGCACGCACCGCATAGTCCTGCACAAAGTGCCGCAGGTTGTCGATGTCCCGATTGGTCAGGCATCCGCCGTGCGGGGCATCCGCCTCCAAATCATTGGCCCAGACATTGGGATTGATGGTCTGTGAGGCGATGCTCTCGCTGCTGATGCTGAACTTCGAGTTGATCGCCTCCGTGGCGCTCTCCTGCATGGGACTCAGCGGATGGAGCATGGCCAGATCGCTATCCTGGGCATTGGCTCCTTCGAGAAGCTGTGACATCTGCATGGCGGGCATGCTGATGACCGAAACCGCCTCCTGTGGCGACTTGGGCGCACTCAGATCCGTCGAGGGCACGTTTGCATCGCTTTTGGGCTGCCTCTTGATAAACGTGGCCCAGTGATCCGGAACTTCGGCGGCACTCTGACCATCCAGCGAGTTGATGGACACCAGGAAGCACTTGCTGTCCCCGAAGGTGGACTTTAGCAGCTCGAATCCCTGCTGCGCCTTGGACAAGTCGCCCTGGCTGGCCTCGTGCAGCACCACATAACTGTTGAGCACCTCGTTGGGGTGGAACCACTTGGGCAGCTTCTGCGGCGTGATGCTCTGCATCTGCTGCACACGTTGTCCCAGCTTGTGGGCCGTCTCCACGATCTGGGGATCCGCACTGGACAGCACTAGCAAACAGCTAAGCAAGTGGCGGGTGAACTCATGATCCGCCGGGAATTGCACCGTTAGAAAGGTCTCACGCCATTGCTCAAACCACGGTTCCGACGTGGGCAACTCGAGGTCTATGTCAGCTGTGGATGGGCAGGAGAACTGAGTTAGCAGATTGTTTATTTGGGCCAAAGGATTGCCTACCTATGGTGGCCAGTCGGGTCCTGTCATTGTGGGCATTGGTCACCGACTCATTGAGCATCTTCCTGGCCAGAACTGTTTGGGGCGGCCGCCAGTCCACATCACAGAAGTTAAGGCGGAGTCCGCGAACGGACACACTCGTCCCGGAAACGTCACGAAAGTGTGCTGCAAGAGGGAGTTACAAAAATCGTTAAACTTTATCAACAGCTGCGGTCAAATTACTGATAAAATTGAATTGAAGTTTTTTAATTATTTATATTATATATACATTACTATATTGCTAGAACTATTAAATTCAACTTAAAATCTCCACTGTTTAGGAATCTATAGACTTTTTAGGATAAGAAGAGTATAGAGAACCAACTTTTTAGTTTGCAATGGGAGGATGCTACTGTAGGATATGAAATGATATATGATATGGTGACTCAATACAAAGTATAAGCTATTTAATATAAAGAAAAAGGACTGTAGAGCAGAACTACTACCGCCTTCTTTGTTTCCGAAGCAAATCGAAACGTTGAATAAGCGCAACGAATCGGTTGTCAGATGAGCTACTTTTTTGGCCCCAGCTGTGCCTTGTTTACCTCATTCATCCGCCCAAATCCACATCCACCCACTTTACTTCCATGCCCCGTGCACAATTTACCCACCATCGTTTGGCAACTTCGCGAACGGCTGCAGGAGCTCCACGAAGGACAGGTTGTTTCGGTGGCAGATCTCGTCCGCCTGCGGACTGGACAGCACGCCGATCAGCGGCGAGAAGATATTCCGGATTATGTCGCGGGCATTGTAGTTCTGGCCCGTCAGGTGCAGCATTACTTCAACTATTTACAAAGAGAAAACACCACAAATATTACCCAGAACAAATTAGAGGTGGCTAAACGTCGATGTTGCTATCGAAAGTGGATAGCGGGAGCTTATTATAAGGTGTTCAGACAGGGCCGCATCATGGATAAGCTTTGAAAAGTAGAATGCTCAAAATATTTCCAATTAGCAACCTGGAGATAATTTATTAACCAGTATTTCATAAAAACATATTATTTTTAAGGAACGTTTATACCAGTCAAGTTTATACAAAAAATAAACTCTGCAGATGATGACAGCTTAAAAAGTCTTGGCCAGTGATGACATCACTATACAAACTTCTTTAAATGCTTTTTGGCTAATTTAAAAGTATTTCACAAAAAAAGTCTTAGTGCTTGGTGGGAAAATGCTTCTACCAAAAACTTCCAAAGTGGTAAATATAAGTTCTAGCAACTTAATTTATAAAATCTCTTTCATTTCATATTCATTATTTTAGTTCTAAATCCTATCCGACAATGATGTGACTAGTCTACATAGGCTATTACGCGGCAGGTAGCGGAGACATACTCCTCAACTAGCGAGGACATACTCTATTGACATTCCGTTACTTCCCAGTGGTGAGTTTCTATCCACCGCTTGGTCAGCAGAACGGTCACACTGAAGCGCGGGAAAGCCGTCAGCTGTCATCACAAATTTTGCAAGCAAGGAAAGCCAACAAATTGCGATAAATAAACGGATAAATTTAGCCTGAAAAGTGCACAAAACTGAGCCAAAATATAACCCAAACCATCGGCCAGCACTGCGTCACAAGAAACCAGTGTTTGTCGAGTATTTTGCAAGGCAATTTCATCAGGGCAGGCGACACCTGCACAGAACCTGCTAAAAAAAAAAGCGCGCCGTCGTAGGCGTCTGGTAAAACTCGGTGCACATTTTCCGAATCGAATCCAAGCCCGTCCGCCAGGTACAGTCACCATGGCCAAGGTGCACATCACCAATGTGGTGGTGCTGGACAATCCGAGCAGCTTCTTCAATCCCTTCCAGTTCGAGCTGACATTCGAGTGCATCGAGGAGCTGAAGGAGGATCTGGAGTGGAAGATGATCTATGTGGGCTCGGCGGAGTCCGAGGAGCACGACCAGGTGCTGGACACCATATATGTGGGCCCGGTGCCCGAGGGCCGTCACATTTTCGTTTTCCAGGCCGATCCGCCGGATGTCAGCAAGATCCCCGAACAGGATGCAGTGGGGGTCACCATTGTGCTGCTCACCTGCTCGTATCGCGGCCAGGAGTTCGTCCGCGTCGGCTACTATGTGAACAACGACTATGCGGATCCGGAGATGCGCGAGAATCCGCCACCGAAACCGCTGTTCGACAAGCTGACCCGCAACATCCTGGCCAGCAAGCCGCGAGTCACCCGCTTCAAGATCAACTGGGACTACGGCCACATCAATGGCAACGGCAATGGTAATGGCGTGGAGAACGGCCACAACGAGGACGACGAGATGGTCACCGATGGACCGCCGTCCACATCCGACACGGCGGCCTCTGTGGTCGTCCAGCCGGAGGACGACAACAGCCTGGCCATGCCCATCGAGAACGGGATCAAGGCCCTCAACGAGAACTCCAACTCCCTGGCCATGGAATGTTGAGAGCTGTCGGCGCACTCCAAACTATATGACCGCACACAAATACACACATACACACTCAGCCCCTTACACACACACAACACACGCCGCTATGGTCGACGACTTGAGGGAATCCCCGATTCGGACACTCGTAGTACTCCTCGTCCCTCTATTTAAGTAACTATTAATTAAAGCAAAAGGTTAAATATATATGTATACATTAAATTAATTACTAAACTATGCGTTTACTTTGTAATTTTACTTTTGAAAGCTTAACGATGAACCAAAGTTGATAGAAAAGGTTGAGAGAAACCTTTAAAAAGTATATATTTTATTTCAGTATCAGTACAAAGTCAGATTTATGTTTTCTTCTTTTATGCGATTTGCTGACTGCAAAATGTATATTATTTTTCGTTTAAAACTGTTGAAAAACAACTGCTCTACTTTGATTGATGGTGTTTTTTTTATAAATGTATTAGCTATTAATTTTTATATTTTGTTCTTCATAAAATTTTAAGTTTAAATTGTTTAAAGAAGTAGGGGTTTTAACATTTTAAATATGACATTTTTTTTTAAACAATATTCAGTAGGTATTTTTTTCTGAATAAGAAGATACATTGGTGTTTTTTTAATTTTTTATTTGTTAAAAACTAATTTAAGCTAGAAAAATTTGTAGTTTTATGAAACATTTGTTTAATTTGTTTGGTCTTTGAGACTATCTTTAATGCCATCCATTATTTTCATCTATACATATTTGAAATCCATTTCTTGAACAGAATTCCAACTTAAATCAATAACATATTTTTTTGTGACCCAGCTAGTAATCAACTCTTCCTTTCTGCAATATTCAGCTAAAATTCCTGTAGATCAAAAACTGAAAAAAGTAGAAAAATTTTGTTAGTATTAAATTTGAATTCCAGACCGCCGAGGATGCCGATCAGTCAACAGGATTTCACCAAAAGCCGCACGAGCAATACGTGAGGAGTGCCCAAAGACGATAGTTCCAAAACTGATCCACCTTCCCGATAATCCTTAGATACTTCAGCTATGTTGATCAGCAACTGGGCAGCAAGTTCCACAGCAGAGGATCATCCGTGGAGGAGCCGAGCTGCGATCACTGGCAGTTCTGCGAGAAGGTGCCCAATCGCTCGGACGTGGAGGCCGACTCCCTGGGCAGTCCGGTGGGTCTGGTCTGCTCCAATACACCGGTGAACAATCCCTGTGGATCCCCGCCCGAGCAGCAGGAGGCGAATGTCCTCAATTTCGCCACCTACCTGAAGGCCTTTGCCTTGATCTATGTCCTGCCGGAAGTCGACTGGACGGCCGAGAAGATCGACATGCTGCTGGAGGAGGGCTCCGAGTTGTTCCGGGCCAGTTCCGAAATGGATCAGCAGCAGCAGGAGGACAATCCGGAGGGTAGTAAGTTGTTCCAGCCGGAGATCTATACCAACGAGGAGAAGCGGATCAAGAGGAACTTCAATCTGGAGGGGCACACCTTTACGCTGGCACTGGAACCTCGTTATCTGGGCGCTGGATCAAAGCCTCTGGATCAACAGCCCTCGCATACGATCCAGAATTTGAAAACCATTCTGGTAGATTTCTTCAAGTCCAGTCGCTACTGTCTCCTGCTCACCCGAGTTGGCCACCTGCTCGTCTGGCGGCGCAAGAGAGTGTTCTTTGTGCTGGATGTGAAGGGCAGGAGGCGGGATGATCTGCAGATGGTCGAGAACAAGGGAGTGGCCATGCTGGTGTGCCTGAAGACCATAGACAATGTGGTCCATTTGGTTAGCAACTTGAGTGGCACTTCGCCGGCGGATGAGTTCACCATTCGGGAATTGGTGGTTGTGCGCCTGGAGACGCCCGATGGACGCATCTATATGCGCGACACCAGCCACCGATCCATCGAATTCAAGGTGGTGAACAAGAGCTACGCATATCTGAAGGGCACACTGCATCTCTCGCTGAACGAAAACGATCCGGTGAGGAATCGCAGCAGCTTGATGGTGGCCGTTGCCTCAATCCTGGCCAGCAAAATCGATCACCCCGCAAACTGGGACACCAACATGCTGGACCGTTTGATCTGCTACGGTGTGGAGCTATGCCGTAGCTGCTGGTCGGATTGCCTGAGGGATCGACGACCCATCGATCTGGACACCTTTCCCACCCAACTGCGCCTGGGTCAGTTTGTGCTGGAGCTGAAACTGTTGCCGATGGTGAGGACGGGTCACTGGCGCTGCGGCGTCCGCATCCTGCACACCGACTTCGAGGCCCATGTGTCGCAGGCACTCAGGGAGTACGCGAATTTGGTGTTCCAGATCAACAACCAGATGTACGCCATGTGGACCAAGGATGAGTTCTATTACCTACTCGATCCCTATCGCCACACCATCGTGGGCACCCATGTGGCCGAGGATGGGGCGGGCAAGTGGGCCACGGTGCGCATGTTCCGCGACCAGCTGACCATGCTCAGCGTGTTCCACCAGCTGCTGATGGAGTCCAACCGGCAGTCGGCCTACTATCTCCATGTGCTCCGCATCCGCAATCTCGCCGAGTGTCCCGAGGGCTATGCCCTGGCTCCGTTGCCCGCGGATGTGGACAACTGCGATGTGCAGTCCCTCAACGAACCCATCTTTTTCAATGAGCAACGAGGTGTGCGTGTGTGCGATCGATCCCTGGCCGAGATCAGCGACTACGAGGAGGATGTGGTCAGTCTGATGGATGATAAAAATGACATTGAGAAATTGCAAATCCTGGACGAGCGACATAATGCTGGTGCAGAAGGTGAAATGTGCGAGGAGGAGATGGAAACCAATCCCCTCAAGAAACACAATAAGTCTGCGAAAGGATCAAAAAGTAAGAGGTGTGAATGTCGCATTACACCCTGCAGAAATACTTGTTTCCAAGGCTCAACAAAATCCAGGACAAGCATTCTCAAAAAGGAGCAAGTAGAAAGGAAAAAGCTGCTATCCCCGGAGATTAAAAAAGGAACATTTGTGAGATTTTCTAGGCAAACTGGAGGTGGTGCGAAGTCCCCTGAGCGTTCCAGATCTAGAGAGGCCCTATCACCTGGCAGGATCATTAGAAAACATACAAAAATAACCAGACAAACTGGTGGCAGGTCCTCACCCCGTTCCTGCTCCAAATCCCCAAAACGTTCTGGATCTAAAGATGAACCATCTACTGGCAGGATAACCATTAAGAGCTTTCCCATGGAGGCACTTTCAAAGGGTTTGGGCCAAAAAGTAGGTATCACACAAGGATCAACCGCCAGGGAAACGGGTGGAGGCACCACCAAGTCCCCTCTTGGTTCCAAATCTAAACGAGTTTCATCTGCTTTAAGGAATACTCATAAAAGTTCTCCAAAGGAAGTAGTCGAAGTATCAGTGGTCAAGGAAACGGCTGGGAGGTCCTTCAATCATACTCCAACCAAGTCCCCTGTTCTCTCCAAATTCAGAAGAGGATCATCTCCTGGCAGGAGCTCTCCAAAGGAAGCACCCCCAAGATCTATGCCCATTGAAACGAGTGGGAGGTCTCCTAGCCCTTCTTCTACTAGCTCTCCTTTTCGTTCCAAGTCTAGACATGGATCATCACCTCATAAGACCATGAAAAGGAGTATAAAAAACTCCAGGGAAACTGCGGGCAGGTCATCCAGCCCCACTCCCCTCAAGTCCCCTGAGCGCTCCAGATCTATAAAAAAGTTTGTAAAAACCACATCTACAAAAGGATCATCTCCCGACAGGACCACTATCAAGGGCTCCCCCAAGGAATCCTCTTTTAGGAGAGTAGTTTCTAAAGTAGTTAACGCCGAGGAAAGAACCTTTCCAGATACAGCCACTAAGATAATTGGAGATGGGGTCAGTAAAAGTTCCAATCCAAAGCCAATGACCAGCAATGGATCAAACCATGAAGTTGAGGCTTCCACATCCGCTGAAGGTGAACTGCTTATGAAGGAAACACCCACTAAAAGGTCAGAACTCAAGACCTCCACATCCGCTGAAGGGGAAATGCCTCTGAAGGAAGCACTGAGCAAAAGGTCAGAACTCAAGGAATCAACAACAAGGATCCTCGCTCGAAAAGATATACTCCAGCAATCCGGGGATATGTCCAAAAGTCTGGGAGTGGCACCTGTGGCCAGTGCCCACTTGATTACGCCCACTGCCTCGGGATTCACCCCTGAATTGGACCACATTGAGAACTCTTCTCTTCCCGCAATGGAATTTCTGAATATTGAGGAACTAAATGAGGACCCCGCAAAAGGAGCGGAGAGTCCCACGGAGAAAGGCGAGTCCCGAGTATCTTCCCTTAGATTTCCCGGTTTTAATAGGGTGCCCCAACTGCTGGCCGTCGCCGGATCCGAAAGTGGCACCGTGGAGAGCCTCAACCGACTGCTCGGCTCCGCCTTCAAGGTGGCCAATCGGGTGCTCACGATGACGCCGTGGGGCAACTACGTGGTCTTCCGGCATCATCCCACCCACGGTGCGGATTCGGTGGCCACCTGGTTCTACGTGTTCGATGGCTGCACCTGCGACATCGATCGCTTTCGCCACTTGGATCTCACCACCGGCACAGCCGGTTTGATAGCATTCCGCAAGCAATCGGAGGTGGTGTGCCACATCATCGATTCGCGGAAGGAGAAGGCCCTCAAGAACGTGTCCATGCCGCTGGAGGATTCTCCTCACAAAAGGCTACAAAAGCTGTTGGCTCGTTGACGCTCGAAAAGGTCCACCTTACGAAATTTACTTTTCAGCTTGTGGATTAAACAATAACTGTCTTACAATTAAAACAGATTTTTAAAGTAAAATTTTTGAAATTTCTAAAAAAAAAAAATGGATCATGGATTATAGCGTTCTTACATGTTTTCATTTTATTATTATTGCTAATTCGTATGAGTCGTTAAAATTAAACTTAATATGGAGTACATTTACATAATGTAGAGAAAAGTCGCGCACGAATAAGCGACATATCTTACGAAGCTAAACATCCAACTAGTGTGTAAATATATAGAATATATATATATATATATATTGAGTGTATATAGAGTTATATTAAATTTGTAATTCGTTTTGCAGCTGATGAACGATTTCCAGAGGGGCGAAAATATATAGTTATCTGCTCCATCGATAGGTTGTCTATAAGGTCTAGAAAGCGCTCATGGCCACGTCATAGCCGCGGTCAGATCTACCAGATTATCATTTAATTTCCCCCAAAATGTATTACCATTTATTTCTCTTCTTTTCTTTTTTTTTGTGTTTGCATTAAGGCACTGAAGCTTGGAATTTTGTGCAATATAGAAATAAAGATTTTTTCGAATGGCGAATGCTTCCGTTCGAATGCGTCTACAAAATTATACGTACAATGCGCTTCTCGAAAAACACTTTCCCCTCAAGTTCTCAGCAAATTTTGTTTTATAAAAAATATCCCTGACTATTAAGTTATCTTCCCTTCGGTTCGTTACTATTTATTAATTTAATGCCTGAGGCCAATTCTATTTTGTTGCTTTGTAGTTCGGTTCTTGTGGGAGCGTTTCTTGGTTTTCTTTCTTTCTTTTGTGTTGTGGCTCAAGCTCTTATTATCGAAACAAAAAACTATGCTTAATGGCTAGAACTACATGTACAACTAGGGCATTTCTAAAATATATTACAAAGGCAGCTCTCTAAGGACAAGAATCAAAGTGATAATCTAATCTAAAGTCTAATGCAAAATTATATTCAGCAAAATAGGAAATGCAAGTGATACGAGTACGACGACACGAGTAAAAAGGTTTTTTTTTTCCTAGCCTTGTGTATCAGAATCGAACAGAATCCGAAACGATCAACGCTTGGACACTGTCTTCCACCTCTACACACACGTTTTACACACATAAATTAGAAAGAGGAGTTTCAGATTCGGACATGAACATAGATAATACCATACAATGTGGGGCGATTTCTCGTTGAGTATATAGGAGATAGCTGTTGCTGCGTAACGTTTTAGTTTAGGAGTTCTCACTTAGGCTACATATCATCGTACTAGGTTAGACCATATTGACGGCGCCATCAGCCTCAAAAGTGGGTATGGATATAATATCGCTGCTGCGCACGGCGCCCATCGCCAAGGCAGACCCCTCCATCGTCCTGGCCTTCGTCGCCCCATTCCCCTGCTCCTCGTCGCTGGAGTCACTCGAGTCGTCCTCGGGTTCGCTGCAGCTGTTGGTTGAGGTGGAGGTGTCCTGCGTTTTCTTCATGGCCGACGCTATGTCCGTATTGCTCTCGAGCGTCGAGTGCTGACTTGAGGGCGAGTGACTGTACTCGGAGGTGTTCTCCTCCTCGTCCGAAACGATGACCACGTTGCGCTTGTGGATGGCAATCTTCTGGGAGAGTGGAGCCTTGTAGCTGCGACGCGGTCGCATGCCACGACCAATGGGCAGACGGCCAAAACTGAAATTGAGGGAAATAATTACATTAATTTTGCTGTCCAAACTTATGGCAAAACGTGCTAGCTTCGACAAACCGAAGCTCTAATACCCTGGCGGTCTAGAGATGGTTCCAAATTGATATAAAACTATTATATGCAAAAAAAAAAGGGAGATAAACCCATATTACTTCCAAATCAACCAAATTCAACAAATTGTACCGAATCGTTCCTAAGACAGATATGGGATATAGACGGCCGAGCAGCTAGATATTTGTGAATGCCCGAATTATCTGCATAAATCGTATGATCGGTATAAAAGACATATGACAGCTATAGCATGTAGATTTTTGTTTTAACTCAAGGTATAGCTTCAAATTATAATTAATAACAATCAGCGACTTATACTCCACTTACAAAAAAATAAACATATTTAAACATTTTAACTCGATGGTCGTCATTATCTTTATACACATAAAAAAGTACAGTTTGTACAGTTTCAGGAATCTGACTTGAACTGACGGACAGTTTAAGCATATGAATACTTTATGGGGTCGAATATGTTTCCTCCAATATTTATAGTATTCCAATTTATAGTATTCTTTTCAAGGGTATAAAGAAGGTTCCATTCTCACCTCCTTCTCCGCAGGGCGTGCTTGTAGTCCGTGGTTTCGCCCTCCTCATCTGACCAGCTGTCCTGCTCGTGGGACTCCCCGTTGGCATTGCTTATCGAACATCCGTTTGGGTTATCATTCAGTGGCTGCTTCCGCCGCTTGCCCTGCGTGCTGCTGCATCGACTCAAGCACGGACTGTTACCGCTCTCGCGAAGTTCCACGGGCGAGGCTCCTCCTCCTCCTCCTCCGCCGCCGCCGCCGCCATTTCCGTTCTCCGTGTTGCTGTTGGAATTCGTGTTGGACTGAATGGACAGGCGGTTCTCGTTGATGAATTCGATGACTTTGCGGCCCAGGCGATCGAGGTTTTCGTTGTCGCTGCAGCATTCGGTGAGGTCCAATCGCTCGTTGCTGTTCATGACATCGTCGATGAGCTGGTCGGGACTGGAGCAGGCATCCTGGTAGGTCAGCTCGCTGGTGCTCAGCGAGTTGCCGTTCGAGGGACAAGCGGGATTCAGGACACCGGCGGCGGACGAAGTGCTTCCGCTGCGTGCCCTCGCCTGAGCTTGAGCAATTTTCTGCACCCTCTGCAGTTGCAGCGGCAGCTGGCGATGATTCGGAACGGGCACATCGATGGGCTGAGATCGGGGAGCCTCTGCGCTGGGACTTATATCCGTTTCACTAACGTCCATGGCATCGGTTTGGGTCTGCCGCTCCACCAGCTGCACCTTTCGGTTCTCCGGCTCGCTCTGGTAGCGACGATCCCGCGTCGGACTGTACTTGGGCGGAGCACCAAAGGATCCCGAGCCGTTGCGTCGATGCCGGAAGTTCTTCTTGTTCTTGTTCGGCATCGTGCCGCCAATGCCGCCGCCGCCGGGGATTATGTTGGCCAGATACGATTTGGGCTGGCAATTGCCGTCCAATTGGGCATAGAGCACACACTTCACAGGAGACTGCAAAATAGAAAGTATGTTATTACTTTCTACCCACTATATTCCATCATGCTTAACCGGCTAAAATAATATTAAATATCTGTCTTCACTTGAATTAAAGCTACTCTGAAGCAGATCGGTCATTGCTACAATAAAAAATAAGCATATATGCACTGATAAAAAAAATAGTAAAAATAAATATCCTGCTGAAGTATTCAAAATTTTATTTCTTATTAAAGTTAAATATACAATTATAATATTAAATAGCATGTGTATTTAAATATATTCATTAATATTGATTAATGCATTTAAGTTTAGGTCTAATAAGGTTAACATTTAAATTGGATTTTCGATGGTAAAATCAATTCCGAAAATAGTTATAAAAAATATAAAGAAAAATTAACATTTAAAAAACTAAACAACCCAATCATCAAATATTTAAAATAAGTATGAAATACTTGGATTTACTACGTTTTTTTACCAGTGTAATAATTTTCTTTAATAGTTTTTGCTTATCTTTTTTTATGAAAGTTAAAAAAGTAGCAAATAAATAAAAGTAATGAACTCAAATAAATGGGTAACGGAAATTCATCTATGACAGTATGAGCAATATATTTCTAACCTTGAAAAATTCGCTAGTCATTTGATAAATATATATAGATTAAAGCAGTAAATTGTGTTTTACCTCCGGCGTAGTTTCTGGATCAGGTGTGGTGGATTGTTGTTGGATGGCCGCTGGTGGTGCGTTCAGTCGTCGGCGATAGTGCTGCATTTTTCTGAGTGTATTTCCCAAACGTCGCGTCGGCTTGTAGCCACAGCCAGGTAGCTTCCGTTCACGTCTAAGCAAATAAGAAGGGGTCATAAATCTGAATTAATTTTACAGCCACAATCTTGCACTTACTCGGCGATTTCCTTCTCCTTCTCCTGCAACTGGGACATGCACTCGCTGAGCTCGAAGAACAGCTGGTTCGTCTTCTGCAGCTTCTCCTCGTACACCATTCGGATGTCCTGGGCATGTCGCCACTCTGCCGTGCGCCGCTTGATCAGATCCTGCTCGTACTTGTGTATGCTGGTGCCATTCTGGGTTATCTCCTTCAGGTGCGATCGCACCTCCTCCTTCCATGACTTTTGCGTCTCGAAATATTGCTTCTCGGTTTTGCGTAGGAGTTCGGGGCCGGCAATGTCCAAGTGCGAGAGTATCTGGCGAAAGGAGGGCCTGTTGCGGGGCTTACTCTTCCAGCAGAGCTTGACGAGCAGCTTGAATCCCTCGGGACAGGTGCTCGGAACCAACAGCTTGAGTGAGTTATTGCCAACACCCCAGATAATGGCCGACGAGTCGACATCCTTGTAGGGTATCTCGCAGGTGAGCATCTCCCAGAGCACCACGCCATACGACCAGATGTCAACCTTCTCGGAACACGGTTCATTACGGATCACTTCCGGTGCCATCCAGGCCACTGTTCCGGCAAAACTCATCTTGGTGCTAATCTCGTTCCACTCGCGACTCGTGCCAAAGTCGCTGATCTTCACCACCTCATTTGTACTTATCAGTATGCTGCAAAACAAACAAGTATCCCAATTATTATTATTATTTGGTTTTCATGTTCATAGTTTCATGTGACTCACTTGGGACTCTTCAGATCTCTGTGTATGATCTTGTGCGAATGCAGATACTGCATTCCCAGTGCAATTTGCTTGGACCAAGAGACCAAGCGGGACGGTAACATGACTTGCTCCTCCTTCAGAATGTTCTGCAAAGGCCCATAGGGACAGAACTCCATGATGATACAGAACACCGGCGATTGCGTGCAAACACCTCTGCAAAGTTCAAAAAATATTTAGATGCGATATTATTTAGGTTTTTATTATTATTTAAATTGCAAGCCGGAAACTCAAATGTCTTGTTTTGCATTAAGCATTCCTTGTTTCACAAGAGATAAGCAACAAGAAAGAAAACATATCCGGTAGACAGACGATATACCCTACGAGCACATTTTTAGTTTGTCTTTTTTTATGCGTTTAATTGTATTTGAAAACAGTCAAGTTATGTACATTTTTCTAATACAATTTGGGATTGTTTCTTTGACAGCTTTATAATATATAAAAAAAATGTGTAACAATTGAATTCGTTGATGTTAAAGAATTTTAGTAAATAAAATAATTGACTTAACCTGATTAAACATTTTGTAGGAAAAAAAAAATGTGGTTATTATTTAATTTCCTTTGTTGATTATTTGTAAACTCTACTTTTATATTTTGAGATTTCACTTAAATCTTTATATGAAAAAGCATGCTATTTCAATTGTAATACTCACTTGAACTTAATAATGTTCTCATGATCGAGCTTCCTCAGATGCTTGATGTCCGTCTCTTTAAGTTCCTTCACCTTCTTCACGGCCACAATCTCGTTCTTTAGCTTGCCACTGAAGACGGCACCCTGTGCTCCGCTGCCGAGCCACTCCAAATCCGTGATGGACTCGAAGGGAATCTGCCAGTCCTCGCTCCGCTGACTCTTCACCTCGATCACGCCCGATTTGCCGATAAACGAGAGCACTGGCTTCATGCATCCCAGTAGGCCGTACATCCAGCCAATGGGCTTATCCGGATGCCCGAAGGCCGCCGCCGCCCCTCCCACGTGAGGTGGCCAGCGCTGTTGGCACGTGTTTTCCGCACTGCTGTCCGTGATCTCCGCATAGTTGTTGTGATGCTGCAGCCGGGGCGGTGAGTCCAAATCGGCGGACTTGAAGGGCAGGTCTGTAGCGGCGATGCCCAGGTGACCAAACTCGTCCTGCAGGCAAGCCATGCTGCGGGGAAATTAAAATATGCAGATTTATTAATTTTCAGTTTAAATGGAAATCAAATTTTGTATTTAAATTTTAAGTTCTATACACGATTGATAAGCCGAAACGGAAATACTATTTATTATTTCGTTATTTTTATTGCGAAAAAGTTTTAAAGATTCTTTTCAATAACTTATTGTAACTAAAATAAAGCAGTGCCCGCTCGAAACTTTACTATGTGAACTTTCCTAAGAACTAAGAATTTTGTATAATATTTAAAAAATGTTTGAGATGAATAATAGACATGGCAGCTTTATTTTTAAAAACAGCCAGAGTTGTATAACAAACATTTATAAAATTCACCGTTTTTTTTTAAGCCGAATTAACAGAATACAATTTATCTCAGCGATCGCTGCTATTACAGCTAAAGATAAGGTAAGTCGATCCATTGGACTAAACATATTCCAGCTTACTCATCAAAACTGAATAATATTATATTATAGCTCCTGAAGTGCGTAAAACAGGTGGCAGATGGGTATTTCCGGTATTATCAAATGTCACTAGAATTCGATTTGTAACTTAAACTTTTGTTAAATCTGTTCTGAAATTCCAACGAATTGTTGATGTGACTTTTTGATTCGTTCGTTCCATATGTCATATGATTAAGGTTGCATGCCAAGGTGACTCCAAAAATAATAGTTACTTTCTAAAATTACAGTTTTGATTATATACAGCTTGTTTTATATCGAGTTGGGATTGATCCACGACAAGTATAAACAAATGCTTTATCTAATGATCTATTCTTAAAGTATATAGCTTTATATTTTCAATGAACAAAACTAATCAAAACCGAACAATCACACGGGTTATAAGAACAATATCGCAATAGGAATATTATTTAAATTCGACTAAAAATTTGTAATCATTGGTATTAAAACTAGAATTCCGGAAACCAGATATAAAGTCTTCTTGTGATGCTGATAGTTGAATGAATGCTGAATGTTTCACGAAATTTTTCAAATTATCATCATTTTTAATATTTAAAAAAATTTGTGTCAGAAGGGGCGTTTTGAAAAGTTTAAATAAATGATCTTTTATTTCATTCATATTTTATAAGCGACAATCGTACTATTTTAATGGAAATTTACGCATTCCACAACCTCAATAATCGAAAACGTCAAACTTCACCCTCTAAAATCTGTATCGACAAATTATGCCTTTTGGTGGTCGCCATTATTATCAATTAAAATGTTTACCTCAGGTTATCTGTCAATCAAGTTTTCTATAAATGTGACGATTACGCATAGCCTTTAAATAGTCGTTCCTTATCGATAAACATAAGAGCATGAGTGATATTACAATCAAGTTACGACCAGCATCATCAAATGAAGTAGGAAGATACATACGTCGCAAAACACAGAGTTTATTGTCAGTAAATCGTTTGAATGATAATCAAAGTGCTTTTCGCGATTTCTGTGTTTACACACGCCATAATAATCATTTTTCGTGCTGACACAGTGAACGCGCACAAAAAAAAGGGAAACTTTGATAAAAACAAGCCCGTGTAAATAAATATTAGAAAAGTGATCGCTTGAATTTCAGTTCTTCGCGCACAAAAAGCCTTCCTGTTGGAATTCGTGTTTGCTTTTCTGTCTGATAAGATAAATAAACATGGGGCAATGGAGCGTATTGGAGTGCAAAAGCGGCAGCAGGTAAAAAAACATTTATCATTTATCACTGCCAGAATGGCAGTATAAAAACCGCAACAACTCAGAGTAGAAAGTCACCTGCCACACACTTACACACTCACACCCATGTACCCACGCTTTCATAAACAGCCAATCTACCGTTCTGTTCACATTTCGTTTAGCATTAGTATTGATACTAGAGATGAACAGGTGATTTTAATATACATATGTATATATACTGTAATCGAAAGTCTACTTAGTGATAAAGCTAAGATTGTATAAATATAAAAAATTATTAAATACGGTCTACTTAGTTGAATAGTAATGAAGTCAGTAGTTCTTAGACCAGCTGTGAAGAGATTCTTTTAACGCTTTATCATTCTTTTTAATTCTTTTATCTCTATTTAACCAACTAGAGAACACGTGCAAGTTATCTTTTCCTTGTAAACACAGGTTTTTCAAAATTCTTAATGACCAACTTATTAGCTTTGTCAATATTGATTCTTCTACCAATTTTTTTTTAGTGACACGAAGGTAAAATGCATAAGAATTCCTTTATTTGGAGGTGCACCCGTACCCACAAACACAAATGCTCATCCATTTACCGTTCTTTGCTGATTTGTTGTTTTCTGACAATATAACCGTCTTGCTCGCACGCAGTTAGCAACACCCGCCGTGCAAATGTCAAAAACCTTTCGTTTATTTATGAATTTGTGAAAAAAGCATTCAATTCACACGTTCTGACCTTTTGCGTGTGGTTCATAGAACGCGGATATTTGGCGGCATCTTCTCATTTCTTTTTCTGCAAAGGTCAGCGGTGAATCTTTTAGATTATGTGACTCAGTGCATCTTGAGATACTTTAGTGGTATCTTACCGTTTTTCTTTGGTGATGATCATGTCGTCTGGCGGGTCATTGTGGCTAAAAAACGGTATTGTGTAGACCATGGTTTATTTGTTTATTCTGTTTTTGTTTGCTTTCGTAATTAGTTGTCGCGCACTAAGAATTTCATTCATTCATGCGACGCGACTGCAATAATGCAAAATTTTACGCTCGCTTTTTGGCCAGCACTTTTTCTTTTTTGTTTACGCACTGAGCCAACAACAACAACAGTTGGCCAACTTTTGATTAAAAGTTCGTGCCAAGCACCAGCAGCTGCCAAAAAAAAAAAAACAACAAAAACAAACGCTTTTTGTCGTCCGACGTATAATAATAATAAAAAAAAAAAATGACGTCAAGGTAAGTTCGTATGATTTTTTGTTGTTGTTAATTACAAGAAAAAAAAGACGTAACACTTTCGTTGGCGGTTTTTCAAGAGTGTTGGGTTGGTTTATTGGTTTAGTGAAAAGTTAAATTGCTATAATTTCACGTATTTCGCACAACTGCGTCACACCAACAAACACAGACAAACTGATTTGGCGATAAGCAGGGTTTTTGTTATTGTTTTTTGCACAGATACACGAGCGTAATTGAAGCGGGATCGCGAATTCTCGCGCAAGCGTCCGTCAGAAACGATTGATTTTTGCGAACTGAATCGCGAGCGGGGACATAAAGCTTCCCATTATCAGTACAGCTTTTGCTCTCTCTCTCGTTTTAACTCCCACCATGCTCTCCCATCTGGTGTTATCACTTGGTTTTGTTGTTGTTAGACTGACCAAATTCGCAAGTGCCAGCATCGGATGGCGTGCCATTCGAGGTCTCTCTAAGCCAGCCTGCCGTCTGGCCACACTCCAAACCAGTTTTTGGTTTCCAGGGGACCACATGATCAAAATACACACACCGACAGGTGAGCGTACTGTGGGTGCTAGTGTGTGTGCGACTAGGAAGTTTTTCATTACGCCCCCCGCAATTTTATTTCCACACTCCACTTACAGTGGATATCGATTAAATGAAACACTTCAAATAGTGTGAGTAGTAATCATGAAATCTTCAGATAACAAGATTATTCAAATGTTAAAAGACACGTGTCTTATGAGTCCTAGATGAAAAAAAATACTTACAAAATTTAAAAAAAAATACATTAATAATAATAATAATTTGTAAACATGTTTTAAGCTTTTCCATTCGAATAATATTAAAGCAACAATAACTGGATTGTTTTCTTGCTCTTGGTATCCCCTATTCAGTATCTCCTGTGTTTACTTTATATCATTTCACCACAAGCTTTGCACGTGTTTACTAACGTTATTTTTAGCGCTTTGGGGGTTTTTTGCACCGATTTCTATTTAGACTTGTGGAGACCAACCAGTCCCAACTAGGAAACTCTTTGAAGTTGAAGATTCCAAATTGGGAAAGTAGAATCCTGCCTTTATCAGACAAAGTCTAGTTTTTGTTAAGCCGTTAAATATTATTGAGTATTTTAGTTGCATGAGAAGTACAAAAAAAAGCGGTCAAAATATGTTTTACAGTGTGAATTGAAGGTTGTTTACCCCGTTTAATTAAGCACGAATTTTCGGCATATTCTTGAAATATAATTGTATTTCTCTTACTTAACCACGTCGTGATTTTAGGCCTTTTAAATGCTTATGTAGCTTTTAATTTTCTTTTAACCCAGTATTTTAAGTTAATAATCTTATTTTTATGCTACTTTTTTTGACTGTTTTTTTATTTTTTGACAGTATGATCAAACTACAACTAGTACAATTCCAGTAGTTTTGGAAAATATATTAATAAAATAATGATTGATAATGCGATCTGTAAAATAACTACGAGGGTATAAAAACTTCGACCTCTCTTTTTATGGAGTCGATAAAGTGTACTCACCTCCTTCGCAGATTATCCGTCTGGTCCAGGGAGAGATTGGGACTGCTGCCGTGGTGTCGCCTCCTGCCGTGGATTTGATGTTGCTGTTGCCGGGATGCGGCGGTGGCGACATTGACCAGATCATCGCGACTTTTGCTCAGACTGTCGCTGAATGGTTGCATTGTCCAGGATTCAGGATTTGGATTCGAGTGGGTGGTTCTTTATTTTCGATCTTTACGACATTCTGTTCAAAGCGAGGGTGCTATAGTAGGTAATCACGGAAAACCATAAATTATTTTTGTCAAAAAATTCTATTTCTCGCGAACACACTCATTTTCTTGTAATCTTTTATCAATGAATGCCAAAAATCAATAAAAGAGCGAACGACGTCAAACGGTATAGGCGCAGGACATGCGTTTAAAGGAGCAAACGAGAAAGCAATAACTCCCACGCAAAATAAAGCACACACACACAAAGGAAGTTAAGCGCTAAGAAGGGTCGATAATTGCACTTGTCAATTATTCACTTTGCATTCCGCCTAAATGTTGATTTTCTTTCACTTTCAAACTGCAGGCCGAGCTATTTTTATGATGCCTTTAAAAGGCGAACTGCACAAAAGAATAAGCTCACAGACAAACATGCTCACATACAGGTATTAATTCATTTTATTTGTACACAGAAAAAAAGCAACTTGATATCAGTTAAAAAAATTGAGAGTTCTAATAGATACCGAAATATGTGTACGTTAATCAATTAAATTTGCAAACTAAATGAGTTTAAAATGTTGTAATAGAAAATCAGCATTTAACAAGATAACCCGGGACTAAAATCCCACTGAGGTCATGTAAATTTTTGTATGTTTTACATATTTTTCGCTTGTTTATATAAAATTTAAATATTCAATACACAATTTATATGTACAAATCAAGGTTTGATGCTTTTCCGGTATCATCAACTTTTCTTTCTGTGTATAAACTCGACTTCTTCGTTGTTCTTTTTTTTGTATTTAACTTGGCCAAAGCTAGAACATAACAAAAACAACACACTGAAATGTTGCCACACAAACACACGCGCAAAATGGCTAATGCTGTTCCGTTCACTCGCCCCAAGTCTGGCCCTTTCACTCGCACTAACGTCGGAAGCCTTACAGCGCAGCTTTGTGCTGTTGCTGCTTCTTCTTCTTCTTTTGCTGCTTTTTGCTCGCTCTTTCGCTCTTTTGGCCAAGAAAATCAATATAAAAATTCTTGTATTTGCACATTTATCACACACTTTGCACACTTTTCCAGCAGTTTTCCACGGTTTAATTGCATTGATTGCATTATTCCCTACTTTGATTTGTTTATTGGCGAAGAACTTTTAATTGATTTCAGGTTGAAATGGAACAATTAAAGACTGGTTTTCTGGCTTTCTTGGGGTTCCGCAGCGAAACGCGTCCGCACCAAAGGTAGATACAAATCGAACAAAAAAGCAAAAAACTGGCTGCTGGCTTTGGGCCGAAACCCAATCTGCTCTCTCTTGGATTTCCTCCCTCGAAACCGGTTCTGAGCGCAGGTGGCACTGCGCATGTGTGCGGGAGAGAGAGTGCAAGAGAGAGAAAAAGAGAGCCATGGCCAACCACAAATAAGAAGAACAACAACACTTGCAAGGCACTCCACTGGTGTTGTTGTTGATGCCCCTGTATCTCTTCTTCTTCTCTCTTGTTGTTACCAATTAAACTGGAGCTGGCTTAAAAGTTAAAAAAGCACAAGTCCGCAACGTGCACGATCATGTTTGCTGGCCTTAACGCTTTTCCAAGCTTTTGACGAGGGAATGCGCGAAATGATAATGAAAACAAATATGTAAATAACTGCCACTTATCATTGCACTTGCACTCTTAGATTTTAATTGCGATGAATGGTAAAGGCGAAAAAGTATTAAAATTTCCTTTAACGTGCTTCACCATTTTACAAAATCGTTTTCTTTAACAAATCATGCCCGGAACATCAGCATATTTAAATCCGATCGAAGCCGGTTTGCGAAAACACTGGACTCTCAATCTCGAAAAGATATTTTGTGGTCACAACTTGTATATTTTAATTATGACTTTCTGAATTTCTCGTTGAATACTTTATCGCAGCTATTTACTAAAAAAAACCGCGCCTGTTCTGAGAGAAAACTGTCGGTTTAAACACAATGTTTAAGATAAAAGAAATTAAAAACATTCATAGAATTTTTAAGCGAAAAAACCCAATTTTAACTGATAAGTCGTTACGTCTTTAGAGTCGGGACGTCATCAAAGTATGATTACACAAGAGCAGAGCTGTGAAAACAACGACTGTTGATATGTGTCGATTCCCATTGCCCCCTTTTCTCCTCTTGGGCACAACAGGTAGAACCAGAAAATTAAAAAAAAAATAATGCAGCAGGTAGCATAATTTCTACGTAAACAAAGATGACTCACACGCAACGAAGAGGAGGGAATTCTTTGGAGACCATGTTTATGGGACACGATTGGTATTGGTGCTCCCCCAAGATAGTGAAAAAAAATTATCGATCGATTTAATGATCTTTATTTTTGAGAAAAAAAATGTCTTTAAATACACCTCCTGTGATCAAAATTGTGGTAAATATACCAAATGACTGCAATTTTAATTTTCAAATCAATACAAATTTTGAACTAACGTAACTTAAATATGATTGGTTATCTCTAAGACTTCCAGACACTATTATTATAATAAAATATTTTGCAATTACTTCTTACATTTGTTACTTATTTATATTTATCTAAATGATTGGTTGGTAAATTTATTTTCTCTCGATGTACCCCCTCCAATCACGCAATCCACTTTTCCCTTGTTAGAGCAACCTTTTCCCCACACACACACTGTTTTCAATACCTTTTCTTGTTTGTTCTGTCCAATAAATTGTTATGCTGCCTGCGTGCTTCTCAGGCGTTTTCTTTTGGTCCATTGCGCATGAGTCATAGGGTTTGAGGTATTTGCAGACGGACAGTGTCCCAGGGTCCAGCTCCCCGTCCAGGTTGCAGGTTCCATTCCCGTCAATCAGTGCCTCAGAATAATGGAAATCGGTATTTCATTTCACCATAAGTGTTGCCTTTAACAAGTGCTCGTTAAGGGTGGTTGAGGATCATTGAGATAAGTTTGGTTTGGGATTGTAGTTCTCACTTAAATATTGAAGTCAGCTCAGATAGGGATGATATGGGATTCTATTGTAGTTAAGATTTATGGGTTTTTGTAAAAAATGTTTCTACTATTTGATCTCATTGCGATATCGATCATTCAGGATCTTCTCTTTTAACTTAAATTATTTTATTGTATCTATAAAGAGTATATAATACATGTCAGCTAAAAGACTTAGTTGTTTATTTTCGCCAAAAAATGAATGACATCCATACTTACTTATTAAATAACCAAGAACGGATGTTACTCAGTTCATAGAAATCTTTCTTTATGAGGATTTTATGTAAATAATGTTCGAGACAAATATTTTGAATTGTTTTTATTGCATGTCTTAGGATCTAAACTATGACAAATGTGATCTTGCACAGGAGCTATATCTCTAATCGACATATATCGGATTCAGCAAAAAACTATTTCTTAACATCTTGTATCAACCAAGTTGTAAATGCTTAATTAATAAATAATTAAATATAAGTATAATTAATGACAGACAATACTACGTGTTGTTAATTATAGTTGCCCTTTGTCAGTGCTGTCGAAAATATCGGAGCGAGTGCTGTTCAAAAAATGTCGCTTGGCACATTTGGTTTTGATTTAATTGTTGAGAAGCTAAATGCTTAATAAGTACGAATGGGTTGTTTAGACCTGCCACCATTAGGTAAGGAAATGATATCGTTAAGACTCTGTATTCCAGATATGCAATGCAAATGATACTAGTTAATGCCATTTCATTCTTTGTCAGTTATGCGACAGCGGAACGTTATCAAAGATCAAAGAAATGCGAGTATTCAAGAGAGGATGGTTTTAGAATTAATGATTAAGCGGATGGTTGGATCTCTATGTGAGAGCATTAGGTATAGTTCAAAAATTGTTGTTGATATTACCGGGAGGGGTTTTTTCGAGGTCGGGAGTCGGGTTCAGTAGAGCTTTAGGTATATCGTAGATATTAGGGAAGCAACGAATACGCATTTCGCTGTTAGAAGTAATGGCGGAGTACATATCGAAAACGAATCTATAAATAGTAGTCACAAAATTTGAGATTATTAAATCAGGTGTATATCCTTTGTAGCACATAATATACATTAGTTCTTCAGGTGAGATAGTCATTTGTAATCTGACTAACTTCTTTCTTCTAATAACTTTTATTATATTAACTTATACAATACAAATATTAATATATTTAAGTGTCACAGAACTGTTTTTGCTTAACGCACTTAACGGCGACTTATTAATTAATACTGGATCTGATTCCCCAGACAACAGTGCGTTTCGAAAAGATTGGAGATTAAAATAGAAATTAAAATTGTAACTTAATGTTTACGAAATAAGATTAAGAGTTTGTATTGCAACGAAGATTTTTAAAAGATATTTTTAGAAACGCACTGATTATCATTAATGTAAATGGGAATTTCCTTCTAATTGACCTCCCAAGAATCGCATCCTTGTCAAGTAAATCCCAATTCAAATATATTGTCGTTCTCACACTACTCTTTCTTGGTGGTTGCCTTGCCTTTTGTTAGCTTTTGAATAACTAGAATTTGCGTTAGTTCTCTTGAATAGGTAATTATTATGTTTTTTTTTATAGTGTATGTACAGCGGAATACTGCAAGTTCGGAGGTGTTACGGAAATATGAAGACCTCTAAAGTCAGTCTAAAAATAGCCATACAGTAACAAGGTTTCTTAAACATCGCTTTTTAAAATCCACATATGACCGTTCCATCTCTGGCTAAAAACTTGGTTTATTTTTTTAATAAATAATTGAAGAGAATATTATTTAGATGTTTCTTTCTGTTGTAACCTCTATGATTCAATATCTCTGATTTAAAGTTTTAAGGAATATGTGTTTGTTTTACCCTGTAGACATTCTGTTCTGTTTTGCTTCTATTTCTGTTCAACGCTCAACGCTCGGAGCCTATCGATATATATGTTAGTTGATATATTCTCAGGTACGCGCTGCATTTCTCTAGTTAACATTCCCCATTCCGTTTAATGAAATCTGCTAAAAGGAACATTGATCTTTTCTTTAAGTGTACGGGCTGGGCTAGCAATTGAGTAATGTTTCTTCAGAGTGGACTATGTAACTTCTAGAATCCCTGGTGATTATCGCCGGACTGTGGCTGCTCGCCCGCCTCCAGCTGCTCGTGTTCCCGTTCCCGCAGCTCCTGCTCCTGATTCTGGTCGTCCTGCTCTTCCTCATCGCTGGAGTCCACATAGTTGCGCATGGTCAGCGCCTGGAAGTCGTTCAAGGCCTGCTCGAAGAGATCGATGGTGTGCTGGTTGTGGGCAATCACCTGCTGGGTGTTCCGCAGGTCCCGCGTGATCAGATCCTGCATGGAACTCGAGGCAGGCGAGGAGGCAGGCGAGCGTCCTGCGTCCTGTGGATTTGTGGAGTTGGTTTGCTCACCGCTGCTGCTGCTGCTGCTGGGATCGTCGCTGATGTTGCTGGCCGCCAAGCCACGGGTGAGTTCGTCCGCATGGGCCAAAGTGGAGCCAATTATGTCGCTGGCAATCCTGATTGCCGCGTCCGTTGCTGCTATTGTGGACATGAAACTGGAGGCAGCTGCCGAAACGGTGGTTGGATTGGCCGTGCTGGTCGGTCTGCTGAAGACGGTGTCGCTGGTCACCTGGTTGTCCTCGATCCGCAAACCGGCCACCCCTTTCTTGGGTATGGTGGCCAGATCTCGTTTGACCCGCCGGCAGCGAGTGGGCTCGTTTTGGCGCTGCTGGACCAGCTGCTCCAAGTCCACAATGTAGACGTAGCCGGCCACCAGGATGGTGCAGGACTTGTCGCCCTTCTTGAAGGCCTCCTCGATGTCCTGACTCGTGCGGTCATCGTATTGCCACCAACCTGAAGTTACACATTTTTACAGGACAAACATACTCGGAATGGGTTGCGATTGGATCGAATCTCTTTTGGTTTTTATTCGCCCTTGTATCACAGTTTGGTTTTCTGTCTAGGATTAGGTTATGGAAATGATAGTGCGGTAAATGGAATTGGGAGTTGGATATATGTGGGTGATCTTATCAGAGTTTAGTTGTATCTTTGGTGCTTGCTGAGCCCAGCGACGCCTTTGGCCAAGCTGTGAATGGCATCCGTGCTCTTGCAACGCTGGATATTGCGACGCCTCTCGGGATGCGAGCGGGGATACTGCTTCATCTGCAGAAAATCAATGACGTACGTTCTCCCGCAGATCTGCAGATGCTCTCTGCCCGGTTGCGGTCCAGTTTCGGGGTTACAGAAATCATCCTCGGAGTCTGTGCTCATCGAAACTTCGTCATCCTCATCATTATCGTCATACATATCTTCATCTTCAGCATCAGTAAATTCGACAGTATCATTATCGAACATGTCGGGAGTACCCCGATCACTGAATGGTTGATCTTCGCAAGCCTCTGGTTCTGGCCTAGCAGTGGCCGAAGGATCCATTGGAACAGTTGGATCTTCTTGATTTTGAGAAGCAAGAGCAGGATTCGGTGGCATCGCTCCGGAATCGGAATCCGGAATGGAATCCAATGGAGTAGCAAGATCCGATTGCGGTGGCTTTGCTGCCTTGTGTTTCTTAAAATCCGCATAGGCAATCTCGATGTCTCCATTGGTCCGAGAGTCGTAGGCCCACCAGCCACCTAGATGTGCATAGTGTGTTTTTTTTTTTTGCGGTGGGGGGTTTATGGGAAATAAGGGGCGCCCGACACCAAAAGCATATTTGTACTCACCATTTCTGCCCTCGTAGTACCACTGGTAGCCATCTTCGGTGGCGCGAGTGGTGCAGATGTCTTCAATGCCATTTACCAGCTGGGGATGGTCCACGAACTCGATGGGAATCTCTCGGCGGCACATGGCACAGCGTGGATTCTTGTAAGCAACGCCCTGGGGGAAACCACACATTTTATTAATGATTGTTTTGCAATAACAAAGAGTATAATGTCAAAACAGTAAAATAATTATTATGTTATTATTAAAATATATAACTTCAAAGGCTAGTTTATTTCCTAACTGATTCAAAGGCTTTATAATTGAAAATAGCCAAGTAGTTTTACATTTACATTTTATATTTTATTATTATTTTTTTTTTCAAGTTATTAAAGTCAAATTTCCAGTTTATAGCTTAAAATTGCGAAAACTATTTGACTTACAGATTATTTTACCAGCGGAAGTCAGTTCAAGAACTTAAACTGCTGTGTAAATTGGCTTTAATTCACGCGCAAAACAAGTTTCAGAACGGGAAAATGCACTCGAGTGCTAATTGGAATACTTGACTTAGGCTTAAACTGGTTGAAGTTGAAAGGGGACGGAAATCAATTGACAAGTAGTTAGCCGGAAGCCAATCTAATGCCATAATTGCGAGTGAACCGTGTTACCTCCCGGCATGCTAATCAATCGATCGGAGCCGCTTTGGCACCAAAGGGTTAAAAACGGCCTTGAACTTGGCTACGTGCTTTGTAGTCTTTGCTGGTGCTCGAAAATTATATTCAAAAGCGCGAATCTTACGATGTGAACTGCATGGCTAAGTGACTGGGAAAAGCTTCCGCATTGGGCTCCATGAACTACGCACCTTAACGCACAAGAAGCAGAAGATGTGGCCACATGGAAGACGAGCTGGGTGAATGCAGGTTTGCAGACAAATGGGACACTCCAAGGCAGGAGCTGCTGCGGCTAGGGGATCTCCGATAGAAATTGTGGTGGCTGAAAAAAAAGGGTACGACGTAGTGAGTTTAGTGATATATCTGACTTCGTTTTTAATTAACTGTCATTTTTCCGGACAATTAAAGACTTATTATAAACAATCCAGGACAACTTACTGGCTTTCCTTTAATTAAAATAATTTTAAAAAAATTTCGCAGATTTAGATCTCATATTTTTAAGTATAAGTGCTTTAATAATAAATCTTACACAAATTTTAATATTAACGAAAAAATAATAGGTTTTGTCAATATAGTTTTCGTTTCCGGTAAAAACAAAGTTTTATAAATGTTATGGGATGCTCTGTAAATGAAGTATGTACATAATAAACTTAATCTAAAAAGAATACATTAGTTTCTGGACATGATGGCCAGGTACTTTTCTCACCTGCATCCACTGTGACGGATTTTGCTGCATCCGCCGGTGGCGAAGCAGGTGAAAGTGGATTGGATGCAGATGCAGTGGCTCTGGATTCCAGCCCGGAGCCTGTTCCCGGATCGTCATCGTTGGTTCCAGAGGAGCTCCCGGAACGGGCAGCAGCTGCCGCAGCCGCCGAAGTGGAGGGCGTCAGGCAGAGATCGATGGTGCAACCAGCGGGACGCACAATTCCCACGAATATCACATCCCCATCCTCGTCGTCGTCGTCCAGCGTAATCACATCGCTGTGGCTGTTGTTATTGTTGCTGTTGCTGCTGGTGGCCATATTATGATCCGTAGCACGTTGTTGCGACATTTTGGGACTTGATCGAGCACGTCAGCAGCGAAGGAAATCGCTCGGTCGCCTTTGTCGTTCAATTTTAAATTTTCACAAACAAAATGAGAAACAAAAAAATTGTTGCTGCTCTGTGTGGCCGTTTGGTCTAAGTCTAAAAATACCACACTGATTTCCAAAAGAAATATACCATTTTAAAGTGTAACCATCTCGACTTGAACTGGTAAGTGTTGGTAAGCGCTATAATGGCGCTAAGATTTAAACTTGTTCTCAAATAAAGAAAATAAGTCTGTAACCAAAAATTGTCGAAAATTCAAATATTCTTAAAAAAATCAAGTAGTCAGCATACGATTATCAAGTTAGTTTCACCAAGCACTAAATACTTAAATTAGATTTGTTATCCTTTAACCATAATGTATTAAAATGGTTTAAAGACTTATAGATCCAATTTTAGCCTTTATAGTTTTTTCTATAAAAAACTCACCTTGAGAATGAATTAAAAACTAAAACCTTAAGAAATTCATTAGAAATTAACAAAATTAATACAATAATAATAACAATAATTTCAATGGATAAAATAAAAAAAAATTCATTACATAAGGAACAAGTTGCATATTATAACATATCAAAAATTTCGTAATAAAATTGTAATAACTTCACTAAAATTTAATTTTTTGCATCTCCAAAAAACTCCCAAATTCATTTTAATATATTTATTTTAAATATATAACGCAGCTTTCTTTACCCTTCGCTGCCCACATTAATAATGCTTTATTAAATTCAACAAAAACCAATTAAAATTATGCGCTTCATTACATGCAACACCTTTTGCAGCCCGCCTCCAACCGCCTCGAATTTAACTTCATAAAAATTGACAGCCCTACGCCCATCGCATCAAGCACTTTTTAATATGCAGCCGGCATGCGACTGCCCCGAAAAAAGTAACACACAACAACAGTCAGTTGCAGTTGTCCTGAACAGGACCTTCGTACTCATTACATAAAAATCAATTTTTGGTTTATTTTTCATTTTGTCACTCTCTCGTCCGCAATCGCATGTCATTTTTTGTCAATTACACAGACACACAGACGTTGGCGTTGGCCAATTGCCTAATTGCGCGACAGACAAACGCGTTGAAGTCAACTGCCGACGAGTTTTGTAAATTACTCTCGTTCTGTTCTGTTTCTGCTTCTGCTCCGATCCTGCGATTTAATGCACGTGTCCCCTTGGGCGTTTTAAAAATGTGTTGTCTGTCCGACGTGATTTGCCTTGGGGAATGTGTATTTTGAATGTCGAAAAAAAATATGAATTCAATAATCCGGGATTTCAGCTAAGGATTACCTGGTACTTAAATATACTTAAATATACTTAAATATAGTAACATAGATTTAAATATATTGTATATCTATATAAGTCTTTTTATTAATAATGGCAAAGATATAAAGAAAGTAAAAGTTTTATTAATAATAATAACAATTTAGGAAGTCAGGTTCTGATAAACTAAAATAATCTTATAGCCAGGGAACGTGGCGCTTTTAAGTTTTATAAAAAAAATCATTTAAGTTATTTTAAAATATGTATTATAAAAGTCTCAAAATAATTATTTTTATCAGCTTAAAAACAATTGTTATCTTAGCTTTTTTTAAGTCTTAATAACGTTTTTACAAAAAAAAAATTCTTTTATAAACTTTGATTTATTATTTTTCAAAAATATAGTACAAGTTTTATGTGTATATCTTTTAAACCATGCAGGGTCAAGGCTTTTAGGTAATTCTGAAGCGTTTTACAGAACATTTCTAAAAGAAAAGAGTTATAACCCGGTTTTTGTATGTTTTTTAAAAGAAAATGAGGAATATTGAATATTTGTTTAACAAATTTTATTTTCTTTAATTGTAAGAGTTTTGACAAGTTATAAAATACAAAATCCTAAATACCCTGACATTATTTGTAACTAATCTAATGTTTATTTTCAACAAATAAATTTAAATTCAATATACCCATGAAAAATACTATTACGAGTCATTCAAAACGCACACACCAACTATTTAATATGCACGGCGAGTCCTTCGACTCTCGACACTCAACCCTTTATCCTGTGTGCCCGTTCGGCACTTGGTTTTTTGTTATAATTGTTCTATGTCCTGTACAATTGAATTTTTATTTGCCAGCAAACGATCAAGAAACAGAAGAAGTTTAAATTATGATTGCCCCTTCATAGCTTCATTGCCCTGTGGCCACAAAAAGAAAGACCATAAAAAAGTAACCCAGAAAAATAAACGAAGAGAAAACCTCAAATCTTAATGTAATTATTAAGGCAGCAACAACCAAAAAAAACCGTTTATAACAGTAGACGCCTCAAGATTATTAACACAAAAGAGGGCCGCAATGGTCGTCATAAGCATAAAAATATTGCCCCCCTTTCCAGACTTCGTCACCCTGTGTTTTTTACCATAAAAAAGGGAGAACAAAAAGAAATTTCCTTGCTGCCACTTTTTTGCACCCTCTTTTTGTAATAAGCTACTTTTGCATCTTGCCTATTGCTCTTTATTTTATCATTTGCTGGGCTTGTACTTCTCTCCCTTAAACATTTTATTATAGCTATTTTTTTGGTTCACCAAATCCCCTTAATAAACGAAAATTGTCTGTTGACACATGTGAGCAGCAAAGGCCTGCAGCCAATGCAACCAACCTAAGCTCTAATAAATTTACGATCGGAATTTCGCACGAATTTCCTATTAAAATGCTGATTTTTCGTGTAAGTGTTAGCACAATGAAGAGGCTGGAATTTTGGGTGGAGTGAGCGGGATTCTTTGATTGACAAATTCAATGGTTATCGTGTGTTGCAATACAACATTTTTAAAAACCTACTTAATATTGAATATAGTTTACTTTAAAATACAGAAAATTACAGAATCGGTAACACACTTCAGCAGGCGTTTGAAGTCTTTTTTAAGTCTCACTATATTCTGAAATATTAAATAAATACTAGGCATTAACACTCTTATTAAGTTAATAAACTTCACATTTATTTTCTTATTAAATTAATTAATATAAATTTTAACATTTATATAAGATAATTATTTACATATCCATTTAAGTAATACGAATAAGAATAAAAATGAGGGAAAGATTAAATATAATTTATTGTTTTAGAATATAAGACATTTAGTTTAATATTACATAATATTAAATTAATTAATATAAATTTAAACATAAAGGCACAACCATTTATATATTACCCATTAAATAAATTGGTGGGGAACAAAAATATTCAACCATTTAGTTTTTTAATGAAGTAGGCAGCAAGTTATCTAAAAAAAAAATATGTCAATGGCTAATCAGTGAACTACTTTCCAAAGTTACCTTCCTTTCAGCACTTCTTGGCCGTTCTTTCGATTCCTCCATTCAGTTGGCTGCTGGTTTTTAATTAAAATATAAAAACGAAGGGAACGTGCCGCGGTCGTTAGGCAATAAACTTGGACACCGCGCATCCTGCCAAGGACAATTACCAGGCGGAAAATGTCGCAACATTTTCGCTCCTTATCGCTGCCTTTCGGTACTTTAGGCCAAGGAATTCCGAGCGGCGGCATAAAGGCAAACGAATTAACGACATTGTAATGCTTATCTGAGAGAAAAGGTCCTTTTGCGGAGAGCATATCCTTTCCTCCCCCACACCCACACTTTAAAACATATTTTCCTTCCTTTCAGAAAAAACAAAATGAAAAAAATCTTGATTTTTAATTTTAACGCTTTATTTAATTATGTGCAGACGAAACAACTTGAAGTTTGCTAATAAAATGATTAAGGAGTGTCCCTTCTGCATTCCCTTCATTTTGTCTAAGCAATAAAACCCACAAAAAATGGGCTAAAAATGGATTTTTTCCAGCTACTTTTACTCTCCTTTTTTCTTTTTTCGTTTTTTTTTTTAATAAAGACATCAACAGATGGGCGGCGATAAAAAGGCAAAGATTATGGGACAGACTACAAAGAAGAAGATCAGGGAAGGTCCAAGTGTCGTGTGGCTTTTGACACCCCCGTAAAAAAAGGAGGATAAAAACAGGCCACAGTTTCAGTTTGGTAGGAAGACCATTCAGATTCGGACAAAAGGCCAGACGCAGGAGATTTAGTTTTAAGCGTTAACACTTGACCGAAGGACAAAAAGGTCCTGCTGCGAGAGTTGCTTACATTTTATGGCATTAAAGATAAGCGTTTATTTCTTATTCGCTTTTCTTAATGCGCAAACTTTTAATTAGCTGAAAAAGAGTGTAGCTTCTTCGCGCCGCTTTTTTTCCACCGATTGATTTTCAATTGGCGTTGAACAAATTTGACATCGAATATGCCCAATAAAAATCAAATACAAATCGAATGCCCGTTATTATCCAACCCCGCTTCCTAATTTCATTTCCCTGAGGGGATGTTTAGCCTACTTATGGGCATCGTTTGCCTCGTCACCTGTTGTTCCCCGAGCTGATTTAAATCTTTAAAATCAATATGCCAAGCGTCAAGCCAAACAGATGAAGCTCCGCGGTAAACACAACAAGGGGAGTCCTTGCCTTAAAAAGAGTGGGGTTTTTGGAGGATGGGAATGGGCGGCTACCGGTGACATCCTTGACAGGTGTAAGAATGGATGGCATTTTTTGAAGTTGACTCCTCGTAGTCTGCAAAAGACGCCTTCAGGCAACAGACAGGCGGGCAAATTGAAATGGTTTAGATTACATTTGACTTTTATAAGCGGATTTCGAGCGTGACATAGTTGGCAACTGGCAGTCGGGAGGGGTATGGATTTGTAAAATATATTTCCAAATAAAATATGAACCATTTATGGGCACCATTTTCATTGATTTTTATAATTTTTTCATCCTCAAGTCATAATATGACTTACAAACATATTTCCGATGTGATACTAAAATCAATCAAAACTACACATTTAGACATCTGACTTCTTGATTAAATTATTTAAACAAGTCAAGTTATATGCAAAAGTTGGTTGATGACCGCTTTTTGCTCTGAAAACTTTTGTTTTGTTTGCTTTGTCTTTTAATTTCATACACTAATTAAATGATATTTTATTTTAAAATATGAAGGGCATTATTTTCATCGCCTTTTTAAATGTTTAGCACATAACTTTCGCCAAAGAATATGCAATTATTTTTACGAAACAAAGAGGCAACTGATATAACAAATGTTTACTATTCCCAATTTTGGAATTAAAAAGCTACAAGTTTTATATAAAAATTATTAAAATTGTAATTTATTTCAGACTTTCCAAAAAACTTAACATAAATCTTGATAAATGCTATTCGAGCTATAAAAGAGCTCCGATCCGAAAATCTACATAGACAGAATGGACTTCTTGATAATGTCGATGCTCTCGAGCATTTGAGACTCATTGATGACGAGTGGAGGAGCAAAACGAATGATGTCGCCATGGGTGGGCTTGGCCAGAAGACCATTCTCCTTGAGCTTCAGGCACACCTGCCAGGCATCGTATTCTGTAAGAGAAAAAGTCAAGTTTAGCAATGGCTTATTTGTTTAATTTAGAGAAACTTACTCTTATTAATGACGATGGCGTTGAGCAGACCCTTTCCGCGCACCACCGAAACCACATCCTTGGGCAGCTGGGACAACTCGCTGCGCAGCAGTTGACCCATTTTGAAGGCATTCTCGGCCAGCTTTTCCTCCTGCAGGACCTCCAAGGCGGCCATGGCCACCTTGCAGCCCAAAGGATTGCCGCCGTAAGTGGATCCATGCTCTCCTGGCTTGATGCACAGCATCACCTGATCGTTGCAGAGAACCGCAGAAACAGGATACAAGCCACCGGATAATGCCTTTCCCAGGATCAGAATGTCTGGCTGAACCTGTTCGTAATTAACAGCCAGCATTTTTCCGGTTCTGGCCAATCCCGTCTGCACTTCATCAGCAATCCAGAGGACATTGTACTTGGAGCAGAGTTCACGGACCTTCTTCAGATAACCATCACTCGGGACCACCACACCGGCTTCGCCCTGAATGGGTTCCACCATGAAAGCGCACACATTGGGATCCTTGAGGGACTCCTCCAGTGCTGTAACATTATCGTATTCGATCAACTCGAATCCCGGCATGAAGGGTCCAAATCCCTCGTAGCTACTGGGATCATTGGAGGCCGAAACTGCGGACAGGGTGCGTCCCCAGAAATTGTTGCGGGCAAAAATGATCTTGGCCTGATTGGCTGGTATTTTCTTCTCCAGATAGCCCCACTTGCGGGCCAATTTGCAGGCGGTTTCTCCACCCTCAACACCCGTGTTCATTGGCAGCACTTTGTCGAAACCAAACAGCCTAGTCACATACTCCTCGTACTCGCCCAGGACATCTGAATAAAAGGCACTATGTGGGACAAAATAGAGAGAAAGTAGTTGAACAATGGTTGTTGTGTACTATATCATATAATTATTACGTACAATTTTTAAGTTAAAAGTAACTTTTATAAAACGCTCAAAGACTGCTAAAATAATCCCTCAAAAATAGGTCAAAAACTATTCTGGTCATCTAAAAATAGTACAATAAACCTCTTTCCTGTCCAGTACATTGCCTTTTGGCGTTATCAATCTCTATAAAGTTCCAAATTTAGAAATCGCAACAAACAATAACAAGTCATCGGTCTCGCGATTTGTTATCAACGAACCTCTATTGACTTTATTGGCCCACTCAACCTAACAATCTGGCCCTGGCAACCCAAAAGAAACCAAATAAAACCGGCAACGAAAAGACCCATTAGTTAGAACTTAAGCAACAAAAAAAATAAATAAATTTTCTTCTGACAAGTGTGGAATCACTACTCAGAGAAGTGAGAATTTATATACGCATTTTCTAGCTACTGATAAGATTTCAGTTAGTCCGCGGGGGGTTATCAACATCCAAAGTATATACTTGGTAAAAAAAAGGAACTTTAGAAGTAAACAAATGCAGTATGATTTTTGTTATAAGCTTTTTTAATGATCTAGGAAAAAAACCAAAATACTGTTGACAAATCAATCACATGACTTTTTGAACACAGTTGTTTTCAAAATGTACTTTAATAATCCGAAAATTTTACTCGAAGGCTGTGTAATCTTGTCCAGACACATTAAAAATTAACGCCCCCGACATACTCTCCTCTATCTATAAGTTTTATTGCCATTCAACCGAAAAAGTTATTAAGCAATCATTGAGTTTAATTTTTCGGTTGACAACAGAAAGAAAATAGGGCAAGCAATCTGCACTTAAACTTGAGCGAACAAAATTTTGTCCCAAACAATTGGGCAGAAATATGTATACTAATACATATAGGAAAATTAACGTGGACTTTATCTTTAATAGTTTGAAAAAATAAAGCAAGATAAGGTTTCATTAACAAAAAAAACATACCCTTGTTAACATTTTAGGTAAAATAGCGTATACGACACGTAACCCAGAAACAATTTTGTAACACAGGTTACAAAACATTTCAAACAAGAGTATATTAACAAAAAAATTACATTTGGTTCAATGCGAAGTTCAATCTAAATTCAATGTGTTTCTTAGCAAATCTAAAAATCTTTATTTAGCTATTGTAAAAATTATATATTTTGAGACTAAACCGACATAGATCCATTAAACCATGTCCACCCTAAATACTATATAAATGGCTGATAAAGTTTGGAGCCGATAAGCTTTCATGGGGGGCACGTCTTTGTTCTATAATTTTATTTGATTGCAGCTCTCTTTTTTGGCCTTTTTCACTTACCGCGATGTCAAGGCCAATTTGGAGGCCTGTTCGGTTAAGGCTTTGACGATCTTTGGATGGCAGTGGCCCTGGTTGACTGCCGAATAGGCACTCAAGTAGTCGAAGTAGCGTTTTCCCTCCACATCCCAGACGAAGACGCCTTCGCCCTTGGACAAGGCAACCGGCAGTGGATGGTAATTGTGGGCACCGTATTTATTTTCCCGGGCATAGACGGCCTCGGAAAGGGAAGATCCGGATGAAGTGGCCGACTCCTGGGCAGCTGTCTTCTGGGCCAAGTAGCTGAGGCGGGTGGCAATGCCGCGTGTTGTCAGTTTCGAGAACATTATAAGTTTAATTTCCAAGATCGATGGGTAAAAGGCACTTCTACTCGCGGATCGCTTCGGATGCTTACTGAAAATCTACTACCAGTGGGCGGGTGCTTTTTATACCCGGAGCGAAACTGTAGCGAAACTGTAGAGAACCCCAATGGAAGCTTGCTCTCAGTCTCTTGCCGGTTCTCTATATTATATATTACTTTCTGATGTCTCTCATGCCTTATCTTATTACATTGCTATATCATTATGCACATTAACATATATAAATCATTTTCCATTTGATACTTTATGAATTTGAGTTATTGTTTGTGTTGATATTTATGCTTTGTAATCAGCTTGAAAATTTCCACTGCTAAATTGATAAAGCTTAAGCAAGCTTTATATGCATAATTATATTACACTTGAAAGCTTCGTTTGGTTTGGTTTGTTTATCCCAGAAATAGATATGAACAAAATATTATAAAAATAATAATAATAGTATGTTTGAAACAATATTTTAAATATTTTTTTTTGATTTAACAAATTCTCATATTTTATTAAAATATATATTTAACAAAATTTTCAGCCATAGCATCTTCTTGTAATTTATTTTGTTACTAAGATTAAATTGTTAGAATTATAAATCATATTAATTTTCCTTTCACTTAATCTTGCACATTTTCATTATCCATAACTTACCTTTTTTAAATTCCACATATTATAACCGATCTTGTTGGTATTTTCACATATTTATTTGATTTTTCATAAATAATTTATGGGCTTAAGAATTTACAACTAGTTTTTGCTTAGAGATGATAATTTATTCTCATTTATCGTATATTGTTTGTTTTGTTTTATCAATCAAACATTTAACAATTATAGCACGTTCAGGGAAATTACGAATACATACATAATTATATATTAAAGTACATTCATATATATATATATATATATATATTTAATATATATATATGACAGTGAGAAGGCAACACAAAAATTGCACTAAAATATTGTTTTACAAAACAAAAACCAATTCCATTTAAAATGAAAACAAATTAATTTTACATGTAGAATTTATACAGGGCAAAAACATTCGATTTTTTGTGGGTGTTTTTTTGTTGTTGTTTGTTTTTTTTTTTGGGCGGGATAGCAGAACCGATAATTGGGGTGTTGCCTACTTTGGGGATGCCCAATTAAATGTCCATTTGCTCGTCGCGTTTCATTAGCTACCTCAAATACAATATGTTATTAATTAATTTTAATAAATTCACGCTTTGATTGCAATTATCAATTCGACCCCTTGACCCTCACTCCATTTCATTCCATGACCTGGGTCACACTTTGCTGTGGCGATTGGGCGGGTGAAAGGCTGCGTGGCGTTGCCGTGGCCACCACATCACCTGCTCCTCCGCCACCAACTCCACCAACTCCACCACCTCCTCCACCTGAAGCCCTTTGCTGATTTTGGGCCTGATTCAGTAGCTCCTTGTTCAAGCGATAACTGCTCATCACATTGGCACAACTCTGGTGAAAATAGAAGTTACGACCGCGCAGGAACGCATCCGTATTGATATCCTTTATGCCTGTCTTGAAATATATAAGAAAATAACATAACAAATTATAGCAATTACAACTTTTTTTAAATCAAATATTAAGTGTGCAAATAACTAGTAGACAATTACTAGATTAGAAATAGAAAGTTAAAGGGGTGTTATAGGGGGTATTATAGATCGTGCTCGAGAATTAAAGTGAGAACTGAAGCAAACTGAGAAATTACCTTACAAATGAAACATTTGTTTTCATCGTCCGGTTTTAAATCCGAACTAATTCCCACCTTTGTGTCCAATTGCGTTAATCCCGGCACGCCCATCGACGACAACTGCGACAGGCTGTTCTCCATGCTCTCCGAGTATTTCGATGCCGGATTGTTGTTGTTATTGTTGTTACTGCTGCTATTATTGTTGTTGTGCGATATGTCCATGGGTCCCGGCTCAGTACTGCTCACCTGCGGCTCCGAACGAGGTCGCTCCTCCACGGGCGAAATGTTCTCAAGGGATCTGTGAACGGAAAGGGTATCATTATTAGCTATGCTGATATTTTTCTAACTTATTTTGCGAATATATATAGATATATATTAAGCAACTCCCTATTGCTAGTTTTTGGATTATTATAAGTCATAAGTTAGTTTTGAAATCACTTATGTATAAAGCTGTCTCAAAGTATCTGTATAGTCAATTTTGAATTGTGGTTACATTTCTAAAAATCTGCGTTTCCATGTTGGTTGGTGAATTTTGGGTTGACATAAATTTTTAATTTTCTTAAAAAATGGCTTTTCAGAAAAATTATCTAAATCCAGCACTTCTTAGCTTATAACTTTTCTAATACAAAATTCCATATAAAATTTGGAAACACTTTTTATTTAGATTTAGGTTTTGTAAGCTTGAATAATGACCCTTTAAATACACTTGCGTTTTACTTTTATGAAGTGTAAATTAAGAATTCTTTAGTTTAAGTTGATTTCTACAAATAATATTTTTCCCAATGGTTAAGATTGCAGCTTTTTAAAACCCTCTGTTTTGTTAACCGAGAAATATGATTTTATTCCGGATGACTCAGATCTCACCTGCTGCTGCCCACATTCTGATCCTCCTGCCGGCGTTGAATCTTGTTGTAATTGATTTTGCTCGACATCTTCACGGTATCGTCGTCGTCGACAATTACGTCCTCATCGCTATCATTTTGGCACGAGGCCGTGTCCATCATTAGGTCCTTGTTGTTGCCCCCGCTGTTGTTGTTGGTGCTACTGCTGCTGTTGTTGTCGTTAACGCCCACTCCGCAGGAATCGGCGTTGTAGTAGTGATGTGTGGTGGATGACAGCTCGCTGACGGTTTTCACTGGGGGTTAAGTGGAAGGCAGTCATTAGCATAAAACTACACTCAAAAATATTCACTTAGAATAAAGCAATCAATGAAAATTATTTTAAAGAAATAAAACTCTAATTTTTTTTAAACACCAAAAAATTGAGGTGGTTGTACAAAGTTTTAAAATAAGTAAATTAAACATTTTAAGATAAAGCATTTAAATCAATATATTTGATATTATCAATTCTGTTACTTCCCCCAATATGTTTTGATTTCGTATTAATATTTGAAAGTTTTTTATGTTTTCTAAAATGTTTTCCAAGACAAAAACATTGTTTTACACAAGTCAAGAAATGTTCTTCAGATACATATATTTAAAATATAAACTTAAATATAATGTAACTTATTAGTTTTTCTCTGCAGAGTTCAATTTAAGAGACCTACCACTGATATGTGCCTGTGGTGGTGGATTGATTTCGCCCGGCCAACTGCTGCTGCTGGCCGTTGCCACATTGGTGCTCACATCCTGCTCGTCGGCATGCGGATCCTTCTGGTTGATCACACACCCCGTCCGGTAGAGAATCCCGTCCAGTTTGCCCGGCTGCGAGTTGCTGTTGTGCATACTAGATGGCGGCAGAACGGAGACGGATGATCCTGATCCCTGGACATTTAGCTCAGATCCGGAGTCGGGCACTTCGTCGTTACAGCTCTCCACATCTACCGTTTCGATCTCCTCCTGCGATTTGGCATCGTCCTGAAAATACAATTCATTTACATTTTAGGTTATGTAGTTGACTCTTATTTTGTTGTTTTTTTTTAAAAGTCCCTCTTTCATTATTTAAATTTTATTTGGTTTTCATCATATCTAAAACTTTGTTTAATCTTTAAAACGTATGTCTTAAGCTTATCTTTAGATAAGCTACAGTTTTAAAGAACTCTCCAAAATCGATCTGAATATTGTTAAAAAGGTTCACATATTAATAATTTTAATATGAGGGTTTATCCAATATTTTAAATAATTTTATATAATTGTTGTTTTGGGTACAACCTGTACATTTTACTTATTTAACTTATTTTCAATGAAAAACAAAGCAGAGTATTTTGAGTTTGATTATAAGACTCACCTCAGGTGGAATCTTTCCCGTCTCCAAGGCATATTTCCGCTTGCAGATCGGACAACTGCTACAGTAAAGACTTTCCATCATGTACATCTCGCCGTATTTGCGCTTGCGAACTTTGAGTCTCAGGCGGTTCTGGCGATTGTTCCTTATTCTCTGGAAGGTCTATAAAATGAGGGGAACAAGGGTTAGAAATCTATTCAAAACATATATATTTCTAAGGGGGAAACTTACCTCCCAGCGATTGTGACTGGTGCGAATGGCGTTCTCCTGGGCGGGACATGGCGGGGCGAACATGTAGGTGGCCTGCAGATTGGCCCGCTCGAATCCCGCACTCAGCTTGTACAGCCTGTCCAGTTCGGTGAGGAAGTGCGAGTGCCACTCCTCGGCACTGAGTTTCAAGCCGCAGACGGGGCACATTTCGGGAATGGCTCCACCGGCCGCCGCGGCCTGCAGTCCGCTGACCAGGCTCAGTCCGCCCGGAACCGCCCGAAGTCCGGCCATGCTCAGACTGGCCAAGGCCGCGTGGTGGGCGGCATGGTGGGCATGGGACAGCGGATGCGGATGGGCCATGTGGTGGTGCGTCGTCACGGCCGTGGACACGGGCGGTGCTCCCACATGGTGGCCATGGTGGTGGCTATGGACGTGCGGATGGGCCAGCGGATGCGGATGCGAGTGGGCGTGCGAGTGGGGGTGGTGGTGCGGCGACGAGGCGGCCAGGTGGCTGGCCATCGAAACGGCCACGCTGCTCGGTGCCGTGCTGATGGCCGGATTGCTGGTCGAGCAGGAGGACGAGGAGCTGGACGCCGACGAGGAGGTGGCCAGTGCCTGGTGGGCCTTCCCCGCATTATGCAGATCTGCGGGGTCGGGACAGAAGAGGGCGTAAAATCGGTAAATTCTAGTCAAGCCCACAAACATCAATCAAGTGGTGAAGCTATGGTATAAATGGTAAACTGCAAACTCGCTTTGATTTCCATGCACTGGCAGAAATTGTGAGCTGTGTATGTCAGTGAATATGGAAGAACACCTTTTCCTAAAGCTACAATTATTCCCCAGCTTATTTGGGCTTATTTAATTGATACGGTGCTACACATAAAATTAAAATGATTTTGTATTCATTAGTTTAC